GTTGCTGGGTCAGTTTTTGGGTGGTTCCATAAAGCAGAAAAAGTCCTTTGATAACTGTTTATGTGGCGCTAGAAAGATATTATTAGTATTTTCTCTTTAAAAATGGTCATTAATGTGTTTTCTAGTCCTACTTACAAAGGACTAATGCCACATAGCCTGACAACTAATTAAAAAGAACGTTGGTGGAGATTTTTTCGTGTGCAGCCTGGAAGTTTAATGACCTCTTGGGTGGGTGCATAAGTTCCTGCTTTACATGCTGTCTGATAGTGATGGCTTCTCCTAGTTGCAGTGTCTTCATTTTTTTTTTTTGTTGTTGTTTTTTTTACCAGCGGTAGTCCAGTTTAAGCATCATTTACTAGTCAGTTTATATAATAGTAACCCAAAAGCCGCTAAAGAAAACAGAGACAAATGGGTTTAGTTTTCTCTTACTCTTTTGGCCTAAAATTTTATTATCAAAGTTGGCTTGTATTCCTAACTCAGGGTGCCAGAAAAAGAAATAATATACAATACTTACTTTTATTTTCAATGCTCGTGTTTTGTTGTAGCTAATTAGAGCTAATTTTAGTGGTGGTTGGAGGCTTCTAGATTGGAGGGCAGTGGTAACTTCTGTAAATACCAGTTTCCAATTGTTGTCTCTACATTCCAGCTCATCACAGCAGTTTAAAACCAGCTTTTGTTTTTGTTCTGTTCTGTTGTTGTTTTTGTTTTTGTGTTTTTAACAGGGAAGCCAGTGTCACTCCTTCAAGACTGGAGGGGCACACCCTGCCCGCACCTGCCTCATGTGAGTTCTCATTTTGGCAGCAGTGCTCTGCTGGGCTGGGACCTCTGTAGAGGTTTGCCCTTTAGCTTTCTAAAATCTGTGAGCTACTACACAGTGTGTGTCTTGGTGACAGTGGTAAAAGATGCATAAGCGTTCCAAACTCCTGGCAGAAAGTTTGCTTAGTCCAAAGGAGTGTTCTCTGCTAATGTCAGCTCAGTTTTGGTTGAGTGAACAGTTTCTACACAGAGAAGAGCGCACAGCTTTATCCTCCAGCGGGCAGTTATTTTTAAAGAGCTGTTTTTCCTTGCAGATTATTGAGTAAAGAATATCTTTAAATGCACTCAGTAGCTTCAACTTTCAAAGCTTTGGCTGTTCCTTTTATAGTCTTGTTACGTAACCTGAGAACACTGTGTGCTGTCCTGGTGGCTGAAGCAGGGTGTGTTTTGTTTTGTTTTGTTTTGTTTTTCCTATTTCTTTTGGACTCTGGCCCTTAAAATAATTTCTTTCTTTGTCTTTGGATTTTGGGTAAATTGGGCTAGGCCACAGAATCTCCTCAGAGAATAAGCGAACAGCTCGCGTAAGATTAACTATACTCAGAAACCTTTGGCCAGGTGTTGGAACCATGGGAAGTTAGTTGTGAGATTGAGGCTGGAAGGTTTGGATTATTCACTTTCCAGTTTTGTGAGAAAAACTGATGTTAGAGCTTTTGCAGCTGTGGAAAGTTTGAGGGATAGATTCTGGTCCCTGCAGGTATCTGTGGCCAGCTTAAAGGGCCTAGTTGATGAAAAAAAAATGAAGTTTTTTTTTGTTTTTTGTTTTTTTAATTTTTTAACTTTAAAGAGACAGGGTCACATTTAGCAGCCTTAGATGGCCGGAAGCTGACTGTGTAGAGTGGGCTTGCCTTGAACTCACAGAGGTATGCTTGCCTCTTGCCTCTGACTCGAGTGCTTCTTTACTTTTATTTTGGAGGAAGGACATTTTGCAACCAGGTTAGAATAAATTGTGCTTATTTCCAAGGGCATTCAGAGGAACCATCTAAAGCCCTGCTCTGTACACTACAGTTCTACGTGTTCAGCTGTGGGTATGTTTTTTTTGTGGCTCTCCACAGATGATTTAGTGACCTGGGAGTGTGCTCTGCTGAAATGATTATCCAAGAAGCTTATGAGGAGATGTCAATAGCTTGTCTGTCTTGCTGATTAATATAGAGCTTAGTGAAATAGATAGTGTTGTTAAAGAAGAACTTGGACTCCCTGTGATAAATCTATTCCCATCTAAGACTAGGACAGACTATTCTGGCCCAGTGGGAAGAAATTAGAAAAGTATAGTGTACTTCATCCTCCAAGCTCAAGCTTTGAAGGCCTGCATACCTGGAAATTCTTAGCAACAGTTACAGACCCCAGCACAAAGAATCCTGGCTGGGACTCAAGCACACTTGAATTCCAGCCTAGGTCAGAGAATGCAGAGGATACGTTGTTTTTCTGGGAAGTGCCCTGAGCTCACTTAGGGGAAGGGAATTTAGTGCTTCTAAGGGGGAATTTATAGAAAGTCATGATAATTAAATATTTGAGACGTTTTGCCCTCTGAATGCAGTGTAAATGTGGTATTTTGGTTTTGTTGTTGTTATTTTAGAATTTAGAAATTTTTTCTGCATTTTTTTCACTAGTGAGATTGTGTCTCCTAGGAATGCCAGGAAGCTACACCTCAACGATATTGCTGCCTAAAGACTGGAACAAGGACAAAATCATTAGACATGCTGACACAGAAGTGGGACATCTCGCAGGTCCCGTGTTAGATAAAGAACTACAGGCCACTAATGCCTGTGGATAGAAAATTACCCTTTACCAAGGACAGCCCCCTAATTATCCAATACAGAGTGGCCAGCCTTGAAGTCATATCACAAGCCACACTGAATGGACTCAGGTTGCATTTATGTATAAGTATATGCAACAACAATAACAATAAAGAAGCCATTAATTTCAGAGCGAGTAGAGAAAAACAGGAGGGCTTGGAGGAGGACAGGGAAGGGGTAAATTATATAACTATTTTAATTTAAAAATTGTAATAACAAAAGTAAAAATGCTAAATTAATTTGACCTTCAGTTCAAATTGTCTCATGGACATAATTTTCAATTATCAATCCATTATAAGTCATTCACCACATGAAATTGTCAATTTAGAGGTGAGTTTGAGAGTAAGGGGGGAATACTGTCTAGTTTTTATTTTCAGTTTGAGGGCATATTCAGCAAATAATCCTTCTTGAAATAATAATTGAAAAGGTCGTGAGTTCAACTCCCAGCAACCACATGGTGGCTCACAACCATCCATAATGAGGTCTAGTGCCCTCTTCTGGCAAGCAGAACACTGTTATGTATAATAAATAAAACCTAAAAACAAACAAACAAATAAACAAACAAAAACCATTGAAAACTATTTTACATGGGCCAGATCCTAGAAGGAAAAAGTGTTAGTTGTACTGGAGTTTTGTTTCCTTTAATATTTTTGAACTAGGTAGGATTTTGATTAAGATGGGGAAGTTAACTTGGTTTTCTAGAAAACTTATCAAAAGGGCCCTTACATGGCATTGGGTTGACATCATGGCTGGGAAGGTAGGTGAGGAATGCTGATTTTGATTTCTCGGTGTATCGGGTACCGTGCCGTCCTGGTCACCAGCACCTACTGTGGGTGCATATGACCATGCTGTCTTTGCCTTGGCCGTGGGGTGCATCATTTTGCATTGAAGCTGCAAGGCTTTACTTTGTTTTGAAGGGCCAGAGCGTAGGGAGGATAAAGTAGAAGGCAGGCAGGAAAGAAGTCCAGCTGCTTTTGAGAATATCCAGACTTGCTGGGCAGCGTGCGCATGCCTTTATTTCTAGCTCTCAGGAGGTAGAGGCAGGCTGGTCAACAGAGCGAGTTCCAGGACAGTCAGTGCTACACAGAGACCCTGTCTGGAAAAACCAGAAAGAAAAAAAGAAAGTATCCGGAGTTAAGGTTAGGGAAGAACAGCAGCTGGAGGAAGGGGCTTTTGGGGAGTTTGGGGTGGGTGTGGGGTGTGCCAGCCAGGAGGACTCTGTACCCAACAGGGACTCTGGGAGGCTGGCAGCCTGACTCTGCTTTGTTATGTTAATAAGCACCTGAGCAGTTTGAGTTTGTCCTGGGTTTGAGTCCTGACAGTACCAGTTTAAATAGTAAACAAATGGCAGTTTGAATATGGAAGAGCTATCATGACTTAACAGTAATTGAGACTAGTTTTTATAAGACTAAGAACTGGGTGGATGCCTTTGTCTTAGCTGACATTTAGGAACTTAACAGGTCCTTTTATGTTATTGGTGTTTGTAATGTGACTTAGCTGCCCCTAGAGGCCAGGAAGGCTGCTCACATAAATTCCTCAGTTGGAAGAAGTACATTTGAAAGAGTAACATTTTATTCAGCTGCAGGGATGACGTTCAAGCATCATTGTGTACAATTTTAGACATAGTGAAGAGAAACCCCACAGCCTAAAACCCGTGTTATTTGCCTTTTAGTAAACAGCATGTTTTTGAAGCAGATGAGGAGAAATAAGTAGTTTTACACACACACACACGCTTGTATGTATCTGCCTGCTGTGATCTTTGTGACCATGTCTGATGAGTCAGAATATGTCTAATTCCTGATTCACAAAATACATTTTCCTAATTGTCTTAGGTGTGTTTCCTTAAGGTTTGTTTGCAGTGACACCAAGTATGGTTTTGAAGGTTGTAGCAATGTTGGGCCTAACTGTTGTTTGGGCTGATAAGAAGACACATTTGACAGGCAGAACAGATAAACTGGTAGAAGACTACAGAGCACTAACAGAAAAAGCAAAAATTAAAGTATACATACAAGAGGAGAACACTCATTCTGACTGTTGCTGTGTCAGTTAGAGTAAGGCCTTCAACAAATACATACTTCTCTTACCTAGTTTGCTAGTTACTCAATTTCATAGTTAAGATCATAGTTGTGTACAATTAGATTTCTTCCCCCAGCACTAAATTGTGGGATTCAAAGAGTAGATACAGGAAAAGTGTTTACAGAAGGCCAAAACTGTTTGGATAGAGCCTGTTTCTGCTAATGGCTGAATTTTCTTAATTACTGGATATAATACAGAATACAAAGTTTGAGGGGAAGAAGAAAAGAGGAATTGGGAAAGAGTAGAGACCCATTCACATGGCCTGTCTTCCCAGGGCTGTTCTTGTGCTGACTAATGAGCCTCTTCTTTGTGCAGTGTACAAGTCTCCAGAATATGAATCCCTGGGCTTTGAGCTTACTGTGGAGAGATTAGTTTCCATTGGCTATCCTCAGGAGCTCCTCAGCTTTGCCTATGATTCGACATTTCCTACCAGGTAAATTTCAAGATAATTTTTGATTAAGATCTCTTCCCCAGTCCCAAAATTATGAACTCCAAACTTATCCCTGTCCCTGCAAAAATAAATGCTAGTATTGTTTTCAAAATTAGCAGAACTTTTTATACATTTACTCATCATCATCCCACTATTTCTCTTGTGTTCCCTTCCTTCTTTCTCTCCCCTTCTTCCTCTCTCCTCTCTCTTTCCCCTTCCCTTTCCCATTGTTTTTTTTTTGTTGTTCTTTTTTTTTCCTGTCCGTCTCTCAACAATATATTTATCCCAGGTTGGCCTCAAGCTTGCTCCTCCTGCTTTAGACTCCCAAGCACTTAGTGCTGAGCTCTCTGTACTCTTGAACAGAGCTGACTCAGGAAGACCCACTGATGGGCAAGAAAGGGGCTGTTAAGGCCAAAGGATGAGCACAGGTGTCCTGCCTGCTCCTTGCTTGCATCTGGAGCAGGCTGCTGTATGTTTTGCTAGTATCTTTAACGTGGTAGGAGAACCTTCTGGAATTGATAGGGGAGAGTTAAGATCATGAAGGACATTTGCTTGAAATAACTGTCACATTTGTCCCATGTGCAACATTGGATGTGGGGAAATACAAGCAGCTCAGTGTCTAAAGAAATTTAAGGAGTATTACAGAAACATAGCAGCTGTCTATCTTTCCACCCTATAAGGGTGATTCGTGCTTGTTTGATGGAGCCCTTATTCCAAGACAGTTGTGACTGCATACATACATGGAATAAGTATTACTAGTTGCTCTGAGAGTCATCCTCCTCCCACCATCCATCTCCCTCCACAAGGGCTGGGATGGATCCTAGTGATTCAAACACAATAGGCTCTGTCTCCAGTCCTGTGGTTTATTTTTTAAAATGCATGAACTCACTTAGCATATATGGTTATTTTGTTTTGGGGGCATAACTGAGTTGCTACAAACTTTGAGTTAGATGAAATTCTTGTATGGTGGTTTCATGCATAAGATTGCTACATGTATTATTTTGCATTATAATGTCTTCATTTTCATGTAGAGGACTTGTTTTTGACACACTCTATGGAAATCTTTTGAAAGTTGATGCCTATGGGAACCTCTTGGTTTGTGCACATGGATTTAACTTCATAAGAGGGTGAGTACAAAGAACCCTTAGCCTCTTTTTAGTGAGAGAGAGAAAGAGAGAGAGTATGTGTGTCTCTGTGTGTATCTGTGTACACCCAGGAAATTTTTGAGTGTTATTCCCTGGGAACTGTCCATCTTGTTTTAATTTTATTTCTTATTGTGTGTATGTGTGTGTGAGTGTGCATGTGTGCCACGGCATGTGTGAGAGGAGGTCAGAGGACAACTTTTAGAAGTTAGTTCTTTCTCTTTATTGTGGCTTCCTTTAGGAATTAAATTTAGTCATCAGACTTGCACATGAAGTTCTTAGAGTAGCCCTTTCTTCCGTGTTTTTTGAGACAGAGCCTCAGGTGATGCAGGCAAGTAGGCTAACCGGGCCAGCTGGTCGGTAAGCCTGAGAGTGCAGTAGTCTCTGCCTCCCCAGGTCTGGGCTTACAGGCATGTGCCTCTGTGCCCTTTGTTTAACTCGTGGGTTCTCAGACTGTCTCAGGGCCTTGTGCTTTTATGGCAAGTGGCAACGCTTGTGCTAGTGCCGTAGCCTCTCTAGTGTTTTAGTGGTCAAGTGATAGGACACTCATCACTTACCTCTCCTACTGTCATAAGGGTCACCCCTTTACATAAACATAGTTACTTAGTCACTATATTTGTTTCTCTCTTCTAATTATATACCACCAGTAACAGCTAATTTTGAAACTTGCTAAACAAATTACATTTTAGTCTTATTTTAAGTGTTAAGATTTTTATCGATTGATTGATTGGTTCAGGCTTTTTAGAGACAGGGTTTCTCTCTAGCCCTGGCTGTCTTGGACTCACTTTGTACACCAGGCTGCCTCCGACTCAGATCTACTTGTTCTTGCCTCTCTGAGTGCTGGGATTAGAGGCATGGTGTGTTACCACACCCAGCTAAGATTTTTATTTTTACTTACTTACTTACTTACTTACCTGTCTATCTATCTATCTGTCTGTCATCTATCTGAGACAGAATTTCTCTGTGTAGCTCTGGCTGTCCTAGAACTCCCTTTGTAGACCAGGCTGGTCTAGTGTGCCACTACACCTGGCTATTTTTCCTTTTTTTTTTTTTTTCTTTGTTTTTGTTTTTAAATTTATTTATTTATTTTTTGAAACAGGGTTTTTCTGTATAGCCCTGGCTGTCCTGGAACTCACTTTGTTTACCAGGCTGGCCTCAAACTCAGAGAGCCACCTGTCTCACTTCAGGTAGGAGTAAATGCGTGTGCCAGTGCTTCCCGGGTTAGTTTTCCTTTTTAATACAGAATACGCATATAAAAGTTGTTTGAAATTTTTTTGAACTATATAGCAATTTAAATGAGTGAGGTTTTTTTTTTGCTAGAACATTTCAGTCTTTGAATAAATGTCTTCAGACATTTGTATAATGAAAATTAAAACACAGGGTTAAAATTACTGGGAAACCTAAATACAAGGTAGTGTTGGGCACAGTAATGCTAGCCTGTAGTACCAGACGGCTCTGAAAGCTGAGACAGGAGGATTCTCAAATTCAGGAGTTCTGCACCAGTTCCTGGGTAATATAACAAGAGCCATCTCAGAAATCAGAAGAAAATGGGGAGAGAGGCTGGGTGTGGTGTGTATGCTTTTAATGTCAGCACTGTGAGACAGAGGGCAGGCAGATCTCTGTAAGTTCAAGGCCAGCCTGATCTACATAGTGAATTCCAGGACAGCCAGGGAGAGACCCTCTCTCAAATAAACAATTCAATGGTAGAACATTTACTCAGAATGTAGGAAGCCTGAGTTTGATCGACAGCATTGCAAAAGGAAGGAAGAAGGGGAAAGTGAGAAGAGGAGGCTAACGACTTAAAACAAGGGACATTTTAAATAAAGTTTTACAGTCTTTGCTAACTAGAGAGTTTCCTCGTAGTAAGTCCTCTTCTCTCTCTCTCTCTCTCTCTCTCTCTCTCTCTCTCTCTCTTTTGTACTCTTTTTGTGAAACATCCCAGGGTTTTTATTAAAAAAAAATAACACATACCCACAGAGTTTGGGACTTGGAGGAGTGGCTCAGTGATGAAGAGTACTTGTTGCTCTTGCAGAGCTCTTGCACTCTGTTTCTAGTACCCTCGTGGTGGCACACAACTGTCTGTACCTGCAGTTCCAGGGGTCCGATGCAATCCCTCTGGCCTTCACAGGTACCCAGTATGCACATGGTGCGCATGCATACATTCATACATACATACATGCATGCATGTATGCAGAACATTCATACATACAAATCTCAAAAACAAAATATAAAAAATACAGTTTGAAACTATTAGGGTCATAACTGCAACTTGAAATGAAAAACATTACACTTTGGGGTAATTTTTCTGAATTCTTGATGGTAAAGTAGTAAAGTTGTCATAGTCACATTGGAGTAATTAAAAAGACAGTGGTTTTGGCAAAATACTTTTTCTTCTAAGAGGTATACGCTAACTGAAATTCTGTCCAGACACCCTTTAAATCATAGCAGTGTCCCGCGTAGAACTGACACACGTGGCACAGTGCAGTTCAGCGAGCTTTACTGCATAACACAGGCTCGAAAGTGTCTCAGTGCCCATTGTGAGAGTGCAGTGGAGTGAGTGTTCACCTTGACCTGAGGGCACTCTTGTATCAGGAAGCCGACTCGAGAAGGAAAGTGACTGCATATGGTACCCCAGCCTAAGCTCATGCACAGACCTGTCACTACTACCTAGGAGCCAGCGAAGATGAACCGGTGCTCTATTTAGTGTTTATGCCTGAAAAGGGATGCACTACTCTGGTTGTTAGTCGAAAGGAAGGCAGAGAAAAAAAAATGAAGAGCAGAATTCACTACAGTCATTTTACAACCAAACTTACTAATTCCAGATGCACAGGCCTACGTTTAGGGTAGAGGTCCACATCTGTAATCCTGGCAGGATAGGAGTTTAGTCATCTGTAGCTACATGGGCCACTCTGGACTACACCAGACTCCCCAGCCTGCTGTGTCCCCTACTAAGGGTTCAAAGTAGCTTCTTTGGAAATGGTTTTTGTAGTATTTAAAAAAATGTCATTTGTGAATAAATGGAGATTCATTCAAGCTTAGCATAATTAGGGAAACACTCTTTAGGAGAGAATAGCCTTGGAGGCAGTGGTTTTTCACGTGCAGTGGTGGTATGGCTGAAGTGGAGGTGGGCATCCATCTGGCTTTGTCCTGTCTTGTTAGCTTGGGCTGTAGGTCACAAAAAGTCACCAGTGTTCAGTAGTGTAACTGCTTTCTTTTCAGCTCCAAATACATTGTTCCCTATGGTATGGTGCTTTGTCTTTCTCTAGCTGGAAATGCAATGGCTGACTGTATTTATCAGCCACTTTGAGTTGTCATTGCTGAAAAGGAGCTGCACCTGTTTTTGTGTGGAGACCATGGCTCACTGACGGGAGTAAGGGTGTGTGGTTGCTGCTGCCTTCTCCCTAAAGCCTGAAGGGGTGGCTTTGTACTCAGTCTTTATTTACTAGAAACTTTGTTCCATAAGGATGAGAAAAGAGGTGACTAAACCAATGATTTTATGGTCCTAACTGAAGTCCGTACCATTTGAAGTTAAGTAACTTAAATAGAAATTTATTCAACTTATACTTAAGTATAAGTTTTAAATTTGTTTTTTTTTATATTTGTGAATTCTCACATTTACCATGAAAATTTTATTTATGTATTTTAGATTTTTCCCTCTTGAATTATTTTTATTACTGCTTTCCCTTCTTTGTGGGGATGTTTGTGTATGTGCAGGTCAGTGGTTGACGGCAGGTGTCTTTCTCAGCTATTCTCCATCTTATTTTTTGAGACAGAGTGTCCTTGGAGCTCACTGCTTTGGCTCAGATGGCTAGCCGGAGAGTTGCACTCCTGTCTCCACCCTCTTCCCCCATTGCTAGGGTTACAAGCACATACTGCAATGCTTGGCGTTTATGTGGGTAGTGGGATTCGGAACAATCCCACCTCATGTTTAGGTGACAAGCACTTTACTGATATTTCAAGTTAAGTAAGTCAGTTCAGAAATTGGTCTGCTTTCAGTAAAGAGGAACAGGAAAATACAGCTCCAACGGTAACGGAAGGCTTGCTTTCTGTTCTGCACTGAGCTACTGAGTGTTGAAGCAGAGGCCAGCTTCCACCACTTCCACCATATGTTTCTAGATTATCCTTGCTTTTCTCTCTTCACAGTTGCTTTTTACTTTTAATTTTATTTATATACTGAATATTAAATTTTTATTTACTTATTTTGAGGCAGGGTTTCACTGTGTCACCCTGGCTGGCTTAGCGCTCTCTGTGTTGACCAGGCCATGAGTGGCAGGATTACAGGGTGAGCTCCCTGCTTCGGCCGTTTCCTTAGCCCTTTGGGCTGACCAGCTCCCCGAGTCTGACGCCCTCACAGCTTTCTGATAGTAGTTGGGTTGTATGCCCCTTAGCACAGTGAGAACCCTGAGTGTCGTCTCTAAAGGCTCTCTTTGGCTCGCCCTGAACCTGTTCATCTTCATAGCTGTCTGGCTTTAATGTGTGAACTCTCTCCTTCACAAAGCTGTCAAAACATATTAATAAAATTTTGAATGACTGTTCTCCACCATTGTTAACTTTTTGTATGTCAAATAATTTTTAAATTTTTCTTGCAGACCAGAAACTAGAGAACAGTATCCAAATAAATTTATCCAACGAGATGACACGGAACGGTTTTACATTCTGAACACACTGTTCAATCTTCCAGGTAGACTACCCTCTGCTTACTATACCTGCTGTCCCTTCCTCCCGGGACCACTTGTTACTCACTGGGGCTAGTTAAACCAGCTTGATCATTTTACTTACATCTTATTAATACCTGTTCTTCGTTTTTCAGAGACTTACCTGTTGGCCTGCCTAGTAGATTTTTTTACTAATTGTCCCAGATATACCAGGTATGTTTATACTACAATTTTCTTTATCCTGTTGATTTTTAAATTAATGTACAGGGTTTTAGAGAACTGGCCATTGTAGGTCTTTTCTGCTTTTCTAAAGTGAATTTAGTGCTAGTGAGAGATGCTACATTGCCAGCCTGAGAGATGGACAGCACCAGCAGCTCCATGCAGGCCCTCACCTCCCACACGGCCCCTCTCCTTGCCAGTGTGCTGCAGCCATGTTTGGAAGGGACCACTTGTGACTGGGAATGAAGACGGCCAGCAGAGGTGCTAATTGTGACAACTGAGTGGGAGGTTTGTGTGATGCTTATCTGTCCAAGCAGAGTTACACTAAAACCCCCCGACTCATTTCACAGCAGCTACCCAGGAGCCATCCAGGGATGGTCATTTAGTTTCATTCCCAGGGCCAGCAAGATTTCATCAAAGAATAAATAGTTAATTTCCTCTAAAGCAGAATTCTGCGTAAGTCTCTCACAGCTCAGCCTTTCCTTGGGGAGTTGTGTGGCCATTGCTTGAATAGCCTTCTTCGTTAGTGTGCTAACTTTGTATCTGAGACCTGACACCCTTCAGGGCACTTGATTTCATGGAAAACAAGTCACAGACAAATGAACGGCACCTTTGTACCTAGGGACAGTTCCAGAAAGGTCAGGGAGAAAGAACCCACGTTCTGTTTGTTCAGTGAGAGCCTGTTTCTGAAAGTGATGAACTTGGCATTTTGGGAATTTGGCCTTTTAATCTCCATCCAATATATTATCCTATCACCTTATATCTGCTCACAAATATTATATTCCATCTATACAATATTCTGGCCATTTCTAACGCTCAAATGAATTTTGATTAGGGAGCAGTTCCTAGTTAAGCACAGCCTGTACCTCGTGTTGTGGAACCTTTGGGTCCCTCGGTCAGTTTGGACACTGATTTATTTACTCTCTTTTGGATTCCCTGTCATGTTCTTTTCATCTTTCTATAGTTGTGACACAGGATTTAAAGATGGGGACCTCTTTATGTCCTACCGCAGTATGTTCCAGGATGTAAGAGACGCAGTCGACTGGGTCCATTACAAGGTACTTAGAAGCCCCTGCTTTACTTCCTCTTCTCTGCCACATGTTTATGGTCTGATACTAACTTTGCAAGTAGAAATAGAGCAGAATGTTCCTTTTTAAGAAGAAAGTGGAGAGGGGCTGGAGAGATGGTTTAGAACTTAGGCGCACCAGCTGCATTTTGCAGAGAACCTCTAGTCAGTTTCTAACACACATACGGCAGCTCACAGCCACTGTGACTCCAGTGCCAGGGAACCTCCATGGGCACCTTCTGGCCTCCATGGGCACCAGGCACTCACGTGGTACAGACATGAATGTAGGCAAAATGCTCATGCACATTTAACAGAAAAGTGAATCTTTTTTTTTTTTTTTTAACGTTTTACATTTTAAAAAGGGGTTAAGAGAAATTTGCCTCCTCCATTTATTCTTATCTGGGTGTGCTGACAATGCTCCTCAGGCCTAAGGCTCAGTTTTTACATTTACTATTTGCATTTCTGCAACATTTACAAGAATTTTAGTATATGAAATTATACTTATATCTTTTATGGATGATAGTTCACTTAAATCATGTCTAAATAACTCCAATTTGACTAATAACATCAACTAGTTAGTATTAGATTTATATTTACTATAAACTTTAATAAAATGAAAAGTCTTAATTTTTATTTAAAATGTGAATAACTTTATATTTGAAATTTTTTCTTGTCTAACATTTTTCATTTTGATAAACAGATTTATTTGTTTGATAGTAAGTAAAGTTTTCGAGTGAAAGTTAAAAATGGATTTCTAGGTCAGGTATGGTAACATACCTGTTCAGGTTCAAGACCAGTCTGAGCTACAAAGTGAAGCTTTGTCTCTAACATCCTTAATTTGTGAGATGGACATGATGTAGTGGATCTGTAATCTTAGCACTTGGGAGGCTATGGCAGGAAGATGATGAATCCGAGGTCAGCCTGGGATATGGAGCAAGTACTTGTTTCAAAAGAAAAAAAGAAAGAAAATGCCTGCTTTTATTCTTAGTTTTTTTTTTTCCTTTCTTCTAGGGCTCCCTTAAGGAAAAGACAGTTGAAAATCTTGAGAAGTATGTAGTCAAAGATGTAAGTATTGAAGGAAGAAATAAATCTGCATGGTGGCTCTTTTTGCCTTGGAAAGAAGTGAATGATGAGCCAGTTTATCGTGACATAGATAAGGAAAGATACTTGTAGCATAAGCACAAAAATGTCTTCTGCCAGTGTGTACTTTTACTGGTCTTTCCTGTTTGCTGAGAAGCAAGAAGACTCAGTGTTTGTTTTACTCTATACCAACCGCTAGAGGGTTGCTGTGTGCAGTGGCTGGTGCCTTATACTGTTTACTCTTCATATAACTGTGAGTTGCACTCTGTTGTTACTTTTTTTAATAGATGCAGACACTGTGGAATAAAGAAATGCTTAAACTTCATGTGGAAAGTCACACAGTTCGTAAATAGTTAGCCAGTATTCACACCCAAATTTTAAGCTCTGTGGATGATCTACTGTGTATGTGCATAGATGTGATTTGTGTCTTTACCCTGTTAGCAAAGAGTAATGAGCACAGCCTTAAGATGCAGTAAAGATGAGCGGATACTTGTAAAGTAGCTGTAGTTACAGGGTTTTACTCACTTTAATTTACAGCTGTGCTGCGGAGTAATGTTACTGCTGTGCAGCAGCGCAGGGAGACTGCACGGGAGGGTGGGTGTGTCTGCGATGTGCCGTGGGCGAGCTGTGCAGCAGTGGTAGAGCACTTGCTGAGGGTATACAAGGTCTGAAGTACAAGCTCCAGAACTGTTTTCTGTTTGTTTGTTCTGTTTTTAATTTTACCTGGGCTGGAGAGATAGCTCAGTGGTTAAGAGCATTTGCTGTTTTTTCAGAAGACCTGAGTTCAAGTCCTAGCACCCATATCAGGTGGCTTACAACTGCCTATAACTCCAGCTCCAGGTAGACCTGCTGCCTCTGGCCTCCACAGGCACCTGCACTCACATGCATACACCACATAGAGCTTGATAATTAAAAATAAGTTAAGAAAAAAACCATTTATCTACATATAGAGTCCTAAGATACAGTCACTTACTTTTCTGTAGAGTAAAACAGAATGCAGAGGTACTTTTTCAGGGTTTATGTCACTGTCCCATCCCCCATGTCAAGCCCTGCCCCTGCTGCAGCCGCCTTTCTCTTACTGTTTCAAGAATGAACGCTGAGCAGTTGAGTCCAGTTTGTGTAAAGGAGGCTTCTTGTGGAAAGTGGTGTTTTGTTTCTAGGCACGTCAGGCGCTAGGATTTCCATTTGGTCAGGTGAGTGGGTGTTTCTAGTTAGCGCCTGCACCCTATCATTTTTTCTGCAATGTGTTTTATGAAACCGCAGTGTTTACAGTGGGTATTTAATAACCTTCATAGAGATTTTTGGTATAGTTTAAAATTAACTTCTGATGTTTAGTACACTTAAATCCCCTACTTGAGGAATCACAAAATAATGTACGTCTCTTCATGAGGCAAAGATGGTAAAGATCTCTTGTTAATGGCCATGAAGAGGTATGAAAAGTATATATTGTATATATTAATACTTTTAAAACCTAACAGTATGGGATTTTTAAATGTAAAATTCTGAAAACCAGAAACTAACTTAGAAAGGCTTACTGCCCTACCCCTATGTGGGCAGAATTCCAGTCTGTGGCACACAATACTGAAGTCCTTTGTCACCATTTCAGGGGAAGTTGCCATTGCTTCTGAGCCGGATGAAGGAAGTAGGGAAAGTGTTTCTTGCCACTAACAGTGACTATAAATACACAGATGTAAGTACTTAGTGTCTTACGTGCTTATACAATTGACCTAAGGGACTGTGAAAAGTGAGAGGGGCTCATAAATACGTGGGTAGAGGCTGGGGTTACTGTCATTTTTTCTAAGCATTCTTTTTTGACTATTATAGTGGCTATTTAAAGGTTTTAATTTGGGGAGTTATATTAAAAAATTCTGCTAACAGAATGGCTTCTCTGCATTTTTAGAGCATTATTTATCTAGATCTGAGAAATCATACCTTGTCTTTTATATCCTTCGCTGTTCAAAATCCTGTAGTGAGAGATGGTTCAATGGTGTTTTGAATCTTAGGAATCAAAATTTACTACCTCTCATGTTTAAAAATCATGATTAAAGGACACAGGGGGAAAAAAACATAGACCAAATTTAAGTGCCTTATTTTTGCTGATGCAATTATAGGGTAACAAGCCTAGCAAGAAGTTCTGTCCCTGCCCCCAGTACTCTACTATGAAATGGAGGTGTATTATCTCCTGTGAGCCATTGGTTTTCTCTGAGCCCTTTCTTCAGTGTTCGTTATCTCCACACGCGATTTCAGGAGAACTGGATAGGGTGTATGGGTGAATGTGTACAGAGCACCTAGAGCTCCATCCTTCATGAGCAGCCATCCACCCTTTGCCTGGTGAAGCATTTGTTTTTTAACTTCCTCTGCCATGGTTTTATAAGCTATAGAGAAAACAAGAACATCATGAACCTTATACTGAATAAAAATCTTATATATGTCTTGTGCAAAAGTCATTTATGGACCTTTCTTTTTCCTCCCAGAAAATCATGACTTACCTGTTTGATTTCCCACATGGGCCCAAGGTATTAAAGTAATTTAATATGTCATTTGTTAACTAATTTAATATGCACTTGTTAACTAAAAATGAGTAGAGTGAATAACTTTAGAACACTAAAGGTAAAAATGGCCAGGATCTACCTAGAAAAGTCTTAGTTTTAGAAGGCCTTATTTTAAAATCAGCATTAAGACAAGTAATCCAGGGTTAGCAGAATTTAAAGTCTCTGGTGATCTAAATATTTACTTAGATAGAAAGAAAATGAATATTCATGTGGTCTGTAGTGAATAAGCTCAAAACAAGTTCTTAAGCAGAATTGGTGTTTGTGTTGTGAGGAATTCTAGATTGAGAATGATACCAGTTTAACAGAAACATAATTTCAATATGAATGTTCTTAACAATTTCTAGATTAGCAAGTGTTGAGTGTTATGCAAAGAAAGCAGTTAATTTTGGTATTTAGAAGTCTTTCTGTAGTATGACTATGTTCAGATTCAAAGGACAAACATGGTAGCTTAGTCACATACTTGAGAATTTTAATCCTAGACTTCCATGAATAAGTTCCAGTAAATACCAGAATTATAGTACCTTTCAGGTTGGCTTGAAAAGGTTAGCACCAAAGTTCCATTTCATAATGCAAAGAGTGTTAGTTGGCATAGTGTCCCGTTTGCAATGACTGAGGCCAGTGTTGACTAGAGCCGTCCTTGTCATAACCAGTGGAACCCTCCCCAGAGCACACTGTTGCCTTCTGTATCTTCGCTTTGCTGCTGATCAGACCGTCTCAGTTTGTCCCTTGAATTGAAGCCTAAAACTGCCTAGCTTTTCTCATACTTCATGTTTGGAAGTACTGTGAAATAAGTTACTGTACTTCAGAGACTAAATAATTCAAACTGTTGAGCTTATCAAAGATATGTATTATACCTGTCAATTTCCAAAAAAACTTATTTTAAAATTATTTGTGTTTGAGTGAGATTAAGTGTGAGATGTGCAGTGATGTTCTGGCTTTTGCTGATTCTGTTCCACCAGCCTGGGAGCTCCCATCGGCCATGGCAGTCTTACTTTGATCTGATTTTGGTGGATGCACGGAAGCCACTCTTTTTTGGAGAAGGCACAGTACTACGTCAGGTGGATACTGTAAGTTGAGAAGGTGATATGTTCTAGTACACTATCCTTTGTTTTTCCTCTCCCCACCTCCCTTTCCTTAACTTAATGGCCATTAGTTCTCTTTTGAAGTTGGGAGGTTTGATCTAAACTGAAGTAGCCCAACAAAGTGCTCATTGAAAATAATGAGTGCCTGGATCAAGTAGCAATGTGAGTAGATTGTGATAAAATGATAGAACATTTCAGTCTTTATTTTATTTACCCAGAAAACCGGAAAACTGAAAATTGGTACCTACACCGGTCCCCTGCAGTATGGCATCGTCTACTCAGGAGGTGAGCTGTGGCTTCCCCTTTGTTCTGGGCCCATCTTCACAGAGCACGCTGTACAGTTTCACTGTGGAAAGTCCCAGGGTCTTTCAGCATAGTTCTGCATAACAGTTCTTCAGGACCAGACATGTCATTCACTGAGAGTCAGCAGTCATCTGCCGATGAAAGTCAAGGGGTTGAGTTTTATTTTTATTGAAAAGATCCTTTTGTTCTTTAAGGGTTTGTCTCAGTGTTCTGGGATCATTTGTGTATATTTCTTCTCAGAGGACTGTCAAGCCCATGAAGAAGCATTTAATGTCAGGCGTCAGAAATAGTTGAATAGAGCCAACTTGAGGATAGTTTTGTGATGAAAAATGGTTACGGCACCTTTGGTAGACATGAGGATTACCTACGGCCTCTTCTATGCCAGATAAGCACTGCACTGCTGGGCTCTGTCGGCAGCCCAGCTGTGGTGTTCTGATAGTGTGTTCCTGGAATTCTTACTTAGAATTCTGGGCAGCACAGTAGAGCTTAAAACCTTGGCCAGGGCCTTACAAAGAGTAGTGAACCTCCATCTTTAAGATCATCCTGAGTGAGCTATCCCAGAAGCAGAAAGACACATACAGAAAGACACTCACTCATATAGACATATAATATAGGATAAACCTACTAAAATCTGTACACCTAAAAAAAACTAATCAAGAAGGAGGACTCTGGCTCAAATGCTCAATCCTTATGCAAAAAGGCAAAGAGGATGGACATCAGAAGAAGAAGAAAACAGGAAACAAGTCAGGAGCCTGCCACAGAGGGCCTCTGAAAGGCTCTGCCCTGCAGACTATTAAAGCAGATGCTGAGACTTATGGGGAACCTTTGGGCAGAGTGCAGGGAATCTTACAAAAGAAGTGGGAAATAGTAAGACCTGGAGAGGACAGGAGCTCCACAAGGAGAGCAACAGAACCAAAAAACTTGAGCACAGGGGTCTTTCCTGAGACTCATACTCTAACCAAGGACCATGCATGGAGATAACCTAGAACCCCTGCACAGATGTAGCCCATGGCAGTTCAGTGTCCAAGTGGGCTCCATAGTAATGGGAACAGGGACTGTCTCTGACAGGAACTGATTGGCCTGCTCTTTGATCACCTCCCCCTGAGGGGGGAGCAGCCTTACCAGACCACAGAGGAAGACAATGCAGCCACTCCTGATGACACCTAATAAGACTAGGATCAGAAGGAAGGAGAGAAGGACCTCCCCTATCAGTGGACTTGGGGAGGGGTATGCGTGGAAAAGGGTGAGGAAGGAAGAAGGGATTGGGAGGAGAGGGAGCTATAGGGAGATAAAGTGAATAAAGTGTAATTAATAAAAAATTTTAAAAAGGCTCTTTTCCATAATTATACATTTCTCTACTATATGGCTGTGGTGCTTTGAATGCTTTTTAAATCTAGAAACATTTTTCTCATTTACTCCTTTCAGGTTCATCGGATACAATCTGTGACCTGTTGGGAGCCAAGGGCAAAGACATTTTGTATATTGGAGATCACATTTTTGGAGATATTTTGAAGTCAAAGAAACGGCAAGGCTGGAGAACTTTCTTGGTGATTCCTGAGCTTGCGCAAGAGCTCCATGTCTGGACTGACAAGAGTTGTAAGAACTGTCACTCTTACTTTCAAATCTTTTCCACAACTAGTTTGTACCTTACATGAAAGCTTTGACTCAGTTTTGTTAGATAAACCATTACTTTGTATACAAGACATCAATTGTGATCAAAGGTAGGCCCTGGATACCTCTTGCCTTTAAGATAGTCATTTCACACAACTCTAGAGTTTGTTTATGCATATATACATAGGCATGTGTGTATAAAATCTTGTTTAAATTCTCAATCTTTGAGGTAGTGTAGACTCTTTTTGTCCTGAGTTAAAATGCAGTTAAGCGTTTGTGAACTGCAGCTTGTACTTTGGTCTGCAGTCCATGTTTTTCCAGCCACATCCAGTGGTCTCTGTGTTGCTAACACTGTTTGTGATTCTGGGGCCGCAGCGGCTCTGAATGCTAATAATCACTTGGTGTCCGTGAAGACAGAGCCCAGATCACGTTGTTAAACCGGCCTTCAGTTGGGCTACAGGTAGCTGCATAAAGGCGTTTGATAGGCAGGCTCTTCATCTGGTCCTAGCGTCACTCTTGCTGTGGCCAAAGTTACCAACTCTGCCAACTTGACCTACGTTGATGGGAACTCCAGCTCATTTGCTCAAAATCTGCATGCAGCGAAGGCCTTACGTCATTTTCCCGTGTATGAAAATGGCAAGAATAGTAGTGCCTGCTGCCAAGCTGGTGTCTCCACCAAGGTAGTACGACTATAAGAAGAGAGATGGCTTTTCTTCTCAGACAGAACATAATTTGAATGACTCCTGACTGTAAGGCTGGTAGAAGAAAACCTGCTCTGCTCAATAGATAAGTGAGTTGTGGCTTCCTCTTGGGGAGCTGGGAAGCATGCAGTGGAGGCTGACTGCTGTTGCCCTGCTGCCCGCACTTTTTACGCTTCTCATCTGCGAAGTTTTAAAAGTCTAGTTGACCTGTGACTCTGGACAAGTCACCTAACTCTTAGTGCTTTTTTCTAGACCATCAGGGCCAGCTGATGGCTCCGGGGGAAAAGGTGTCTGCTGCTGAGCTTGTCCTGATCTCAGTCCTCAGCGTCCACATGCTGACAGCTGACGTGACGTCCTCTGACTCCTCCACTCCTCCACACACAAAGTTTTTCTTTTTAAAGTCAGATATCAAGTGGCTTTGGTGTCTGCACCCAAGGGAGTAGAAATTGATGCTTTGGAAACCCAGAATGAGCACTTGGCTGGAAGGGGAGTTGTGGGCGTGCCTTATGTAGGAAGAAAGGCAGTTTACAAGGAAATCGTAGTGTTCTCCTGTAGGCAGAGTCCGCACAGCCAGTGGCTTCCCTGAAGGAGATGCAGGTGATTATACACTGGATTCTCGCACGTTAGGGCCAGGTTACACTTTCTGGTCATATCTGAAATTTCATTAGTGAGCATCACTTAAAAGCTGGGTACTTTTGCTTGATTTGTGTAAAACATTTTCTTTTCCTTTCCAAACTTTAACTAGCACTTTTCGAAGAACTTCAGAGCTTGGATATTTTCTTGGCTGAACTCTACAAGTAAGTTTCCCAATTCTACAACTTAATGCTCTGAAAACCACCTACCTCTCAGGAGTGACGTAGGGGTAAGGTGTGTTTTCTTAAGAGATTTTCACCGTTTTCCTCTTGTTCCCAGGCACCTTGACAGTAGCAGCAATGAGCGCCCCGACATTAGTTCCATTCAGAGAAGGATTAAGGTATCCAGATGGGATTTGGGAGAAAACATGGGGAGTCATGTCTAAGTCATTTTCCTGTGTGATTTTATGCAGGCACGTGTATGTAGCTGGTAACAAACAGTTGCATAAGCTGAGACCCTTTTCTCTTTAGAAAGTAACTCATGACATGGACATGTGCTACGGCATGATGGGGAGCTTGTTCCGCAGCGGCTCCCGGCAGACACTCTTTGCCAGTCAAGTGATGCGCTATGCTGACCTCTATGCGGCATCCTTCATCAACCTGCTCTACTACCCATTCAGCTACCTCTTCAGAGCTGCCCACGTCCTGGTGAGTCAAGTTGTTTCTGACAGTTCAGATGTACTGTAGAGTCATATCTACAGCCAGCTTTGTGGGATGAGATTGTGTGAAAACTATGAAGGACTCATGTGGTTAATAAGGAAAACATACCAAGATAGAAACTTACTGACTAGAACATACTTTGTAAAGTTACTCTAAATAGTGAAGGCTCTCCTTTTGAGCAGGGTGTGGTGGCTTTCATTCGTAATCTCAGCTCAGCATAGGCAGGAGGATTGGGAGTTCAAGGCCAGCTTCAACTCCTGTCTTTAAAAAAGCCAGGTGTGCCCCACAAGGAGAGCAACAGAACCAGAAAATTTGAACACAGGGGTCTTCCCAGAGACTCATACTCCAACCAAGTACCATGCATGGAGATAACCTAGAACCCTGCACAGATGGAGCACATGGCAGTTCAGTGTGTCCAAGTGGGTTCCATAGTAAAGGGAACAGGGACTGCCTCTGACATGAACTGATTGGCCTGCTCTTTGATCACCGCCCCCTGACGGGGGAGCAGCCTTAACAGGCCACAGAAGATGACAATGCAGCCACTCCTGATGTGATCTGACAGACTAGGATCAGAAGGAAGGAGAGGAGGACCTCCCCTATCAGTGGACTTGGGGAGGGGCATGCGTGAAGAAGGAGGAGGAAGGGTGGGACCAGGAGGGGAGGAGGGAGGAGCTTATGGGGGGATACAAAGTGAATCAAGTGTAATTAATAAAATAAAATAAAAAAGCCAGGTGTGGTAGTGTGCAACTTTAGCCTCGGCAGTTAGGAGGGGTAGGCAAGTGGCTCTCTGAGCCAAGGCTAAATCTAGAGGCCCCGTCCTTAAAAACAAAAACAAAAAAAACCCTTAATGTTTTTATATGTATGCCATATGTCATGCTACTGCTGTTGCAGAACTGGTTTGGGAAGTATAAAAATAGAAAAGTAAGGCTTTTCTGTTTTAGTCACTTCCATGCTGTAGGAAAAGGTCTGGCAGCTTAGGTCCTTCTGCCCCTGATCCCTTGTAGACTTAACTCTGCATAGCCACTGGGAGATAAGAGCGTTAGGACAGCACTTAACTCTGCTTCGCCTGAGCCTGAGCCTGTGCTGTGCTCTAGATGCCGCACGAGTCCACGGTGGAGCACACACACGTGGACATCAACGAGATGGAGTCCCCTCTCGCCACCCGGAACCGCACCTCGGTGGACTTCAAAGACACCGACTACAAACGGCACCAGCTTACGAGATCCATCAGTGAGATCAAGCCCCCCAACCTCTTCCCACTGGCTCCCCAGGAGATTACACACTGCCATGATGAAGATGATGATGAAGAGGAGGAAGAGGAAGAATAAGGCAGACTAAAATCCTGAGCACCCACCAAGTCTGGCACAACTCACAGGGCAAGGGGTGGCCTTGTTTGGATTGTACTAGGGAGGGTGGGAGGACTCCATCAGAGGTACGTTTGGAGAGCTTCTGAAGGCTTTAAGTAATTCTAATCATAGCTCCTTACTTCAGTTTTGTGTATCTGTATTCTCTGCAGATAGTTTGAAGCTGTATAGGAAGAACAGGTAAAAAGCCAGGTGGAATGCATGCAGACGGCACCACTGTGGCTTGTGATAGTGTTTCCTTGTCTGTCTTCATCGTCGGTGTGTCATCTGGATACACTAAGGTAGTAAAGGGTTTCAGAGCAGAGCCACGGGACTGGAGGGAAGAGATGATCCACAAATCTGTATTACTACAAACTGTGCTTTTGCTCCAAACCCCCACTTTTTCCGTGCATTACACAGTGTTGTATATCAGTGGAGAAATACATGTTTTCATTATCAAGTGTAGTCGGTCCTCTGTTGAGGTCGAGTTTCCTTCCATTAGCTTTTGGGTTCCCTAGGTAGCCCTGGCGTGGCTGCTGCCGTGTCAGTGCCTTTGTGGGTTTCCCTGCTTCGGGTGATTCTAGACTAGACTGCGGGGATTTGAGGCAAAAGTCCTCATTCCTGCTACCTTTGTTTTTCAAGAAAGGGTTTCTCTGTGTAGCACTTGCTGTCCTGGAACTCACCCTGTAGACCAGGTTGGCCTCGAACACACAGGGATCCTCCTGCCACCACCTTGTGAGTGCTTGGATTAAAAGCGTGCACCACCACTGCCCGACCTTTACTTCATTTTTTTAAAGTATGTAACAAATGATTTTGTTGTTGTTGTTATATAAAGGTGGTGCATGCCTATAATCCCAGCACTGTGGGAGACAGAGGCAGATCTCTGTGAGGCCAGCCTGGTCTACAAAGCGAGTCCAGGACAGCCAGGCTTACACAGAGAATTGCTGTCTCAGAAACAGTCCTTTTGGGGAATATAGCAAGTTCCTAAAGAGCAGCAAGTGCTGTCACAGCGTGGCCTGCAAGAGCACCCTGCTCCCACCCACACTGAGTTGGTAGGGGGCCTGCAGCAAAAGGCAGGCAGCAGTTCACTGGAGAGCTGCAGGAGGGAACTACTTGCTCTGGATAAAGCCAGAACCTGTAAACATGAGGGCGTGTGACTGCCCTGCCAGTGCAGGGACTTACTGGACACTTGGAATCGTTTTATAGTTTTTTGGTTTTTTTTGATACAGGATTTCTCTATGTAGCCTTGGCTATCCTGGACTCAACTTTGTAGACCAGGCTGGCCTAGAACTCACAGAGATCCGCCTGCCTCCCTGAGTGCTGGGATTGCAAGGCATGCACCACTGCACAGTGCTCTTTTATAGATTCTTGCTTTAACTTTCATTTGTTTTCTTCCATTCTTGGCCCTGGTGATGAGGGTACTGGCTGATCTAGAACTCAGAAAAGTATCTAATGCTGACATTGGTCCTTGTGTAGGACAGCAGTCAACTGTCCAAGCTGTTGGTCTTCAGCTGGCTTAGGGTTGGCATGCTCTGAAGGGAAATACACATTTTCAAAATTGCTAACTATATCTGTGTCACTTTTAGTTACAAATGTGCTTACATGTACAGTGTTTCATAGGCATAAAGATTTTTTCACCAAGGTTTTTGGCATTTTTTTTAACAAAGTTTATCTATGTAGTTCTGGCTTTCCTGATACTATGCTCACTATGTCGAACAGGCTGGCCTTGAATTCACAGAAATGTGCCTGCCTCTGCCCCTGGGAGCTGGGATTAAAGGTATGTGCCACCATGCCTGGCTTGTTTTAAAAGTAATTACTTGCTAGGTTTGAAACACAGCTCAGCAACTTGCCACGGTATGCAACTGCACAGCTTCTACCAGTGGTGGCTGTATGCCAAGTCACGGAAGCAAGGGACACACATTTGGACCGGGTCTCTGTGACAGACGTGGACAGGGAGGCATTACCTCAGGCTTCCTAGCCACCCCCTAGGTACTAGTCCTTCTCTTTGATGTTGATGTTGAGGGCGTCACCTCATTTGATAATGTTGTCTTTTCAAGCCCAGATCCTCTTTACGTGGCATATGACAGCTGCAGAATCACCTTGTGTTAGCAGAGGGGGATGCCACTCAGCTTGCTTTCTGCGTCTTTGTGTGTTGTGTCTATAACATTTGTGACTGGCGATGACACTCCACTGGGTGGAGAGAACACAGTTGGAAGAGCGCCATGTTGAGTCACTTTTTCCTCAGGGTCACCAGAAAGGGCTGCTAATTAGCCAGGGCTCTGTAAGAGACCAGCAGGTGATCCCCTCCCTAACACACACAACGTATTGGGCAGCCAGTATGGCAGGTGACCGAGTAGCTGTGACTGGGACATTTCGGAATGCAAAGTATGAATTCTCTGCTATCAAGTAAACTTCTCCATTGTTTTTCTTAAACCTGAATGATTCAGGACAAAAATGGCAGGCCTTCTATCACTCTTGAGAACCTTTCCTAGGGATTCTGAAAACACTCCTCAGTTTTCAGACTGTGCAGGCTTCACCTCAAAATTTAAGTGTCCTTTCTTCAGTGCTAGCCTGAACTTCCAGACTGGAATGTGTGGCGGTAGGGACCGTGGCCACAGTAGCTGCCTCCTCATGCACACCTCTGCAGAAGCGTTCTGTTAGAGCATAGACATCTCAGAGACCACTTGAAGCAGAAAAAGTTGTTTCATGCCCAAGATTCTCTTTAACCATAAGCATAGATCTGCTGATATTATAAATTAAGCTACCCCCTTCAAGCTACTGCAAGGTGCTTTTTCAATTTTGTTTAAAATAGAACTGAGCTACTGATCTTTAAAGTCACATTGTTTTTAGGAAGCTGCTTACAAAAGCTGCATGCAGTTACATTTCAGATTTAAAAGTAGCTTGTCCATGTTTAGAGATTTCTAAATCAGACTTATTTGTTTAACAACTTTAAAGTCCTGCAATTTTTCCAAGGCTTCTTGAGCACTTTTAAAGACTCTGCTCATTCGCCACAAGTAGCTTGAGATAAACAACTGCACGTTTAAGTCTGTATTAGGACAGGAACTTCGCTCACATTCCATGCTATGGAAACTATTTAACCTCTTTCTGATGGTGGGAAACGTCGGAACTAAGACCATCTATTGCCATACTGTTAGCAGCCTTGCTCCCCGTGTGCTTTGAGAATTAAGTTCTCAGGACTTAGTTTTTCGTGGTATTCTTTCGTGGTGGCTAGAATTCGCTTCTCTTAAGCTTTTCCTCAGAGGGAACAATTTCTAATCACACATATAGGATGCCCGAGTGTGGAATTCTTGCCACAGATGAGATGCATAGATGACACACGTGTGCGACAGCCAAGCAGCAGGGCCTGATGACAGCAGAGCACACGGCCTGCCACCTTCCTCCACTAACAGAGAAACGGCACTTCACAGACACTGCTGTGCAGAAATAGCAAAGGCAGATGCCTAGGAGGGATATGCATTTACAAAACTAACAGCTTTATCCTTATCACTCACCGTGCTTCTCAACATACCGCACCACGTAAAAGAAGGTGACATTACACTGTCATTGCAAGAAATGCACTCATGCCACACGAGTGTCAGTCGGCAACAGACCGTAGGCCCCAGTGGCCCCATAGGCTCTGTTGTCTGCTGATGCAACTGTGTGTTTGTCAGAGGGCATTGCCGTGCTCTTCCCGGGAGGTTGCCTAGTGACAGTTCTCGGCACGTTCCCACTGAAGTGATGCATGAGTGCGCACGGTCCCCCTAAGTTCCTCTTAGAGCCACAACATGGGGAACTAAACCATCTCTGACTCGCAGACTTGGACACCACATGTCTTAGTAATCAGTATTTTCCAGCTTAATGAAATTCCCAGTTTTGATCCTGGGGCTTCTTCACATGGGGCACAGTACCTAAACTCCATCTTGTTGCTAGAAGAAGAGCAGGGTAGCTGCTTCACACTTGGCTCCTCCCAAGGGCCTGCAGATGAGCCCCAGAGGACTGGACTGAGGTAAGGAGCCAGTGCGCAGTGCATACATCGGTTCCGTGGATACAGCGGTTATCCTTCAAGTCTCAAGTTCTGAGAGTTTGCCAAGCAAACCTTCCCAGCATTGCAAAGTTTATTAAAGGGCCATTCCTTACTGAGAGGTTCTTGGCAGTTAACGTCGGACTGGTGGGTGTGTGACTGAAGCATGTGACCACCAAGTCAGATGTAGAAATGGACTCAGTCTCAGGACCCCTGCCTGCCTGATGTTTCCCGTGTTTTCAGCACCTCAGAGCCACTGACAGAACAGCAGGAAGCACTTCCCCAGTCCTGCTTCCATTGCTCCTCAGACCATCTGCCAGGACAAATGCCAAAGTTAAGACGAGGGTCATATACCCACTCCTTCATCCTAGGACTCATTGAACATTTGTGCCTGTGAACATGAGCACAGATATGAGGCCCGAAGCAGCAAAGTGAAGCAACCACATAGCGAAAGAGCTAATCGGCAATCTAATACAATTAAACTTCGGGGGCTTTAATGAGAAATACATGTCTCATGAAATTGTATTGCCTTCCAGAAATCTTAAAATAGGTGCGGTGTGGCTCCATGGCAGAGCACTTGCCTGTCCTGTGCAGTTTGATCCCAGCACTGCAAGTAAAGATACAAGTTGCCAGAAGTCACTGCCAAGCTAGGGAAAGTTCATTCTACCCCTTTTTCTGTAGGGTCCTCTTCGTTTCTGTTTCCTCGAAGCACTAAGCTCAGTACGGCTCAGACGTGAACTCAGAAGCCAGGAGTGTGGTCAGGATTGCACACAGGGGTTGCCTGTCCCCCTCATCTAGATGAAAATCCAGCCACTGAAGCTAGCTGAGGGAATGCGCTGTGGCCATCTTCCTGACCTGCTGGTCTGTGCCCTGTGTCCAGGGGAAGTGAGCCAGACACTTCACTGGGACACAGGTGCATTCATTCTCCTTTCAGGGAATGTAATGATCGGAGAGAGGTTTTCAAGTTAGCCTTGTCACTACTCCACTGAGACATTCCCACAGAGGACAGGGGTTGAATAAAGCAGACTGAACATCATAGTCAAATGCAGTAGGGCTCTTGAGGGGCCACTCACGGCTTGGCTATCAAAGCATAGGCTTATTTGAATAGAAAATAGAAAAATGAAAGATTTCAGAAAGGGTCAAGTAGTGGATCACCAAGCAGGTGTTGGGGTCTTCTCACCTGAGTGAGGAGGGATCAAAGGAATAGCTCTGGAGTGATGACAGAAGATCACTGTCGGTCATCCTCAATCGCCGGGGAACGTCTAATATGCCTCCCATACCTGTTGCCACATCTCACTTGAGGGTACTCACCCATGGACTGACTTTCCTCCCTGGTTTAGAGAACCCAAATAGCCAATTGAGAAGCCTGTACAAGGCTTTTGTTACTGCCAAGGAAAAGCTAGCCTTTCTGTCTGCCTAGCTGCGTGCGTCACTAGGCAAGTCAAGCAGACACAATCTAATGGGGCAGGCCTCACTCCCTGGAAGCACCCCCAGGCGCCAGCTGTGTTCTGGAGGCACTCAGCTTGCATTTCTCTGAACACGAGACTTTGCAGGGTCTGTCCAAAGGAGATGCCCTGATATGATCCAGTCCAGGCTTTCCCACCAGGGAAGCCATGTGATTGGGCAGGGACCAAGGCTGAAGAAAACAAAATAGTTGGTGTAAAACAGAGGAAAGAGGGCACACACATCTGCTAAAAGGGTGAACAGAAAACCATTTATCTAAATAGAATAGTAGAAATAAACAAAACCTTTTAAAAACAATCACAAGATTTACAAATAAATTGGTACAAATAAATAGGTATTGTAAATCTACAACATTTGAATTATAAACGCGTCCATCATGACAGTCAGCTCGTGAAGCCTGTGCACGTGACCTGTGCTTGCTTAGCTTTCCATTGATGCCACTGTTCAAATGCATGAAATGGACACTGTGATACAGTGGGTACTGCTGGGGAGGGGGAAAATCAGACCATGTAGGGCTTGCTTTAGGCCCACAGCAATGTTGGTAACTGGGCCGTGACACGAGGAAGAGGCATGTTCACAGCCTAGATGGCCAGGTAGCTTCCATGATACAGATTCTGTAATCCAAGTGAGTGGAGAACATCATTTTGAGACCAGGAAACTGATTTGGCTTGGGTGGGGATGAGGAAGGAGGTTCTGGTCTCAGCCATATGCTACTACTGCACAGGGAAGAGACCCAACCCCCCAAAAGCCACTTCTTCAGTAACACCATGGAGACCTGAGGAGTTCTGCCTCCATCTACCTCCCAAATACTGGCCATTGGGAATGGTTTGGGGTAAGGCAATGAATGAAGCTGGTGTAAGAGCAGCAATTATTTTTTTTTTCCTTTTAAACAAACAAAAATACCACCACCCTCTCACCCAATAAGGGACAACAAAACCCTAGGCTCAATGGATGAGGGGCTTCAAAACAGTGTCTTAGTCACAGGTGATAGACTAACAGTAGAGACATATGTACATAATAAATAATATAAAATAAAGCATATACATTTGTGGATGTAAAGGACTGAAAAAATAAGAAAAGTCAATATATTGATAGACTCTTCACAGTAGACCAGACATGGGTAGTAGTGAATCAGGAGCTTGGCAGGGCTCTCTCGGGAATGAGTCCTAAGAACCATTCTGCCCCACTTCCCTCTGTTCTAGAGACCTGGGACCCAGCGGTTTGTATGTCAGAAACCTGTGTCTCCAAGAAGAGTAGACACTCAGGTCTGTGAGGCCCCTTTGACAGTTCTCTTTAGAGTGGTTCTGGAAGAATCCAGCACCCGAAGTAAATCCATATGGATCAGATGTGAGCAGCACCAGAAGGTGCCCTCCAAGTGAAGCCAGGGAGAGCCGAGCCATCGTCATCTGAAACACTGACGTCCATCTCTCTCCAGTGTTCCAGCTGTGTGCACACAGACACTAGGACCCGACTCTTGCCATTTGGATAATGCTTCAAGTACTGCCTGGCATTCCCCAGCAAAAGGCATTTAAAACAACTGCAGTTGAGATGTCTCAATGGCTCTGCTATAAGAAAGTTGGAGGAGCCAAGTCAGCCACAGGGAACCAAGAAGCAAAGGTCCCCAGATGCTCACTTTAGCTGCTCCCGCTGCCTGGCTGGAGGGAGGTGGGGGACAATGGGGACCCTCCAAAAGGAAAACCAGTAAATCAGCATCAACTCCAGCAGGAGGGTGCTGGAGGAAGGCCTGTTCATCCCAGGCTGGAGACCAGTAACAGCAGCTCAGCCTTGGAACACTACTCATCCCTCAAGTTAGAAGCAAATGAGCCTCAGTGAGTTCATCTTTCCCATCAGCCGCTCAAGCACAGAAGTAAATGGCCCTGAGGTATAAAAATCCACTGAGTTGGTTTCTTACTGATAAGTCTGTATGGGAAAAAACTTCCAAATCCCCCTACAATCACTTCCCTCTTCACCTCTAAACTCCTATTCTGGGCTAGCCTACAACTTATCCAGTTGTCCTTGTTGGACAGAAGCACCACAAGCCTATGGCCCAGACTGGAAGCAAACATAACCCAGGAAAGAGCCTGATCCCTCAGAAAGAGAGGACATACTGGTACCTAAGTGCCTGAACAGCCATCAGCCCTTCACAAGAAAAGCACATCAGAGCATGGAGGGAGTCATGCCAAGCCACAGGGATTGGGCTACATGGTGTGTCTTGCTCTTTAGCCCAGGGATAAGTGTGTACCTGCACCAGTTCAGGGAGTTAACCTGCCTGTTCACCCCTGGGAGACATCCCCTCAGTCCAGGCACAGCGACTGGCAGATCCCTGGTGGCTTTCAGAAAAGGACAGAGGTGCTTGTGTTCACCAGCCAGGACACAGGCTCAGCCAGCACCTACTTGGTTTGCTCCTTAACCCAAATAACTTGAGGGCTGAAGTTCATGGTCCCTGCTTAACTCAAAATCCTGTTGCTCCATTTCTTAATGCATTTGGACATGCCATGTTTTTCCTAGACTTGAAAAGCTGGTCCGTTAGCTGTACAGAGCTGGGTGGCAAGGCGACTTTTCACAGTTAGTGTTCCGTATCAGTGTGAAGTTCTGCACTGAACACCTGCACACATTTCTTAGAATAACATGAGAAAGTGGTTTGTGGCTCAGCTCCCTTCACATGAGGTCAACTATGCCCACAGAGAGTATGAGAGGTGGCACCTTCAAATTCAAAACCAAAGTTTAAGCTAGTTGACTAGCACCCCAATACTCATGTATGAATTTCAAGATTCTGTTTTCCTAAGAGTTTATTAGAGTTTGGACTTGGAGGATGGACAAAGGGCAGCGAGGAAGAGACCCTCATTTGCAATGACAGTGTCACAGCAATGTCTGTACATAGGGCATCTAGTTCCAGCTGCTGTCCTGTCCTCTGGCCTCAGTCTGGCCTGGGTGACCCCTCCCCCTCCATCTTTGCACATGCAGCAGCCCAGGAGTGGTTACAGGCCAGAGCTACAAGGAAGGAGCCCCCGAACATGGCCATTCCACTACTTGCCAGTCTTTCTTGGCTGTGAAGCCCATGGGGTGAGGCCACAGACGGTATGTGCCCTTCTAGCCAGGACCCACCCAGAGGGGCGAAGAGCCAGCGTCTCCTTCAGTTGTCTAAGGAGTCTGTTTGGGAGGGAAGACCTGAAGAGCTGCTCACTCAGATGCCAGCCCTGTTTGGAGGTTGAGAGCTCTCTCCAGAGCAGCTAGAACTAGGGCCATTTCACCTTTGGGCACTCGGGAACTATTCTGAATTCCTGGTTATTACACAAGTAACTAGTCAAAGGTACCTTGAGCACTAATGGGAAATGAACACCAAGCTGGCAGGCCAGTCTCAGTCTTTGAGAACCGCACTCCCCAGCTCCTTTGCAAGAGACCTCTACAGTAGCTGCCACAGTGGGTGGTGGCTGACGAGAGCTTGGTTCCCAATAAGCACTCGACTCCAGATGCACGCACAGTGAGACCCTGACAGGGGTCCACGGGTGCTTCTCTCCCAGGGAAGGCTGTCTGGGGCTGACAGGGTGGAGCGCTGCCCACCTGGAGAGCTCACAGGTACAGGGCGCTCCTTAGGAATTACACTTTTTCACTTGCCTGTGTTTGAAGAGGGGCACTCACAGTGTACCAGGGTTCCATCCTGGGAAATTCATCCCCAGGTGGCAGGCTAGGTGCCAAGAGCAGGCCACTCAGCCCCTTTAGAGGCCACTCCCCAGGGCCCTCCACTAAGGGCACCTTCTCTGCCAGGCAGTCTGCCTTCCGAGAGCACGCCAGGATCGCCACCCAGCGTAACACTGTCAGTGGACATGGCACCAGACGCCCGAGCCAAGGTCTACAGGTGTGGCAGGGAGAGAGCACCTGCCAAGCGTGCACACAGTTGTGGGTTCCAGACATACATGCACAGACAGACACACACACACTCTCACACCCCCACCCCCACCAGGAGACCAACCCAACACATCACCCTCCCAGAGCCCAACCTGGAGCTAGCAGACCCCCTACCTGGAGGAGGAGACTGACACTCAGCCCGAGGGTTCCCTGTGCAGGAAGCCCAGGCACACGAAGGCTCTCTTCTCCAGAAGTGACCTGGGTAGTGAGAATCCTCTTGAACACTAGGGCCAGGAGTTCATTTCAGTGTGTAAGCGTCGCCAGCAAATGCAGGTAGCCCCCTAAAACAAGCTAAGTAAGGACGTGGCCACCCGAACAGTACCTGTGGCCCTGTGGCCGGCCCTGTGGCATGAATTTTGCAACACATGGTAAGTTTGGTATTAAAATAAGACAGAGACACACATGAACCGGTCACAGCGCACATTTGGTTTCTGAGTCCATTCGGGGTCAAGCTGACTGGCTGTCCGGGCTGCTCTCACTGGAGGCACCCTTAAGCGGGGCCACGGCCCCTGCTGAGCCCCACAGTCCAGGGACAGGATGGGAGGGGGCCCTTGGCTCTACAGAAGGACAGGCAGTCAATCCCCTGTTCCTTCCATTAAAAGCGCAGATTTTGAAATGCCAAGTACTGCGTGCACCCGCCCCACTCCGCTGCCCCACGAACCCCAGCGGGAAAGAGGCACTAGTGCAGCCACCGCGCCACATGCTCACGCAGAAGCCCCAAGGAGGGGTTCCGTTTGGCACCTGGAGCAGCAGCGTGGGTTAGCAAGAGTGGGGGCCGGAAAGGTGGGGGGAGGGACTAGGCGATGTCCCAGACCTCCCCAGTTTACAGGAATGTGGGAGGAAGTCATTGCCTCTTGCCAATGATAAACCATGGGTTTAAAATTCATTAACATTCATTTTGGTGATAAAAATTCCTTAGGGTGGGAGGAAAATCACATCCCAAGCAAACGGCGGCCTTCCTGAGGGGAAGGGACGGGTTAGACAGGTTTCCACAGCAACACTACTGCAGACAGGGCACCTGCAGCTTCTGCCGACACCCACAGTGACGACAGACTTGGCACGTTCTGCAATGTCATGGTTTTCTTCATTCACCCATCAAGTTCCACAGCGTCACTCGTGGGCACAGAGGAAACGTCTCCCTCCTGGGGACAGCCAAGGAAGGCCACTCAAGGGGCAAGTCCATCCTGTTAGGGTCACATTGTGGGGTCACAGCAGAGTTAGCTCAGACAGACCTACTTAAAACTCTGCAAGACACTTAAAAACAAAAACATGATCTCTTGAAAAAAATAAATGCCAACAATTTTTAAATTCATGCAAATTGAGGGAGGAAAGAAATGATAAAAGGTGCTGAAAAAATAAACATGATTCTATTTGGGCGGAAGAAGTTTGTCTCCGAATTCTTGAAAGCCATGCCCCAGCTGTCGGTGTCACGTGTCTAGTTTCCACCCCTCCCCATGCGGTCCCCCGCAGCTTGCTGTCCTCTGAGGCTTCCAGGGAAAGGGGCAAAGTCTTTGGTCTCAATGCTGTAGGACGCAGCATGGCAGACAAGCTCACACTAGCGGGAGTCACGGTCAGACCAAGGCCAGGAGGGCTGGACACGGAGGGCCTGAGGGGCCCTAGATGGCGCCTTCACTGTGCAGGCTGTGGTTGGCCTTGTTGTGCGACACACAGTTCTGTTCATTGAGCAAGTTGGCCGTCTCGTCCGGCAGCCCGTCCTGCAGCTCCGTGAGAGTCAATTCAATTTTAGTGTTTTCACTGTCTGAAGACTGAGGGGTTTTGTCCATCCGGGACGCCATCAAGGCATTTTGGTATTGCTGTCTGGAGATCTGAGACCACAAGAGGACACAGAAAACAAACCGAGAGAACACTTATTTTCAGGTTCTCTTGTCTCTCACACCGCATCACACACCGAACACCCCAAAAGGCCCAGGGCTCTAGCAGAAAATCATCCTTGAGAAGAAACCGAGCACTCTGAAGTTCAGGTTGATCCCAGCGATCCAGGCAGCTCCCGCGCTAGAACCACTTCTACATCTGGCCTCTTACATTCAGAGACTAGAAACTGGAGATGAGCTTCCAGCGGCTAAAGCTGCTTTGGTCTCCCAAAGATGTCTAAGAGAAGACCCTGTCTCCAGGGCAGAAGGCAACCTCAGCGCTTTCCAGGTCAAGCAGATCCAGCAGCCACGGGCCCCAGAGAACTGAGGAGGGCTTTCCCTCGCCCCAGTTCCTGCAAGGCCACGTCTGCTTTGGCTGCTCATGCGATGGAACCAAGATCAATGTGTGTCCCAACCTGTGTGCTGGGCCCAGCAGAGGGAGGTGAGGTGCTCTGACAGCCAAGGGAAGCCCATGTTGAGTGGACAAGCTGGCAGGGACGTAGCCATGCCTGCCAGATTCAGCCAGGCAGCCCTCCCCCACTCACCTTGACGAACTGTAGGTCAGAGAGGGCTCGTACTGAGTAATCCGGGATGTAGACCTGTAGGAATGACGAGCTGAGCTGGTTGTTGCTGCTCCCCAAGGTTGGCGTCATGGCATCAATCCGGTCGCTCCGACTGAGAGAGTCTGAGTGATTTAGGCCACAGGGGCGAGGAGGTGACTTATTTTCACCTAGAAAAGGGAGAAAACAGCCTTTAAAGCCCTGTAGGTAGAGCCGATGGAGAGTGCTTGCTGCACATGAAAGGTACAACTGCATCTCTCCCCAGACCACGTGTCTCAGCTGTGCTGGACCCCGTTCTGGGTATAGAGGCCAAGGCTCTGTAGCTGGGAACCCATCTTCCAGGGGACATCACCAGGTACCAGATGGGACTGGGGACATAGCCAGGACACGGAAGCTGCCTGGTACAAATGAGGAACATAAAAAGGCTCTTTATTATTTTCCAGAAGCCAAAACAAATGATCAAAGTCCCGTCGGCCTGTGTCCTTCGCCTCTTAGCCGACAGCCCCTTCAGGTGTGCCATCACAGAAGGTGGCTGTAAACCACTGACAGGCCCAGTGTCTTGCTGCTATGGGTTTCTGCAGTGAACTCCTTGGAGCAAGCATTCAGAAAGAGAGGGGAGAAGAGCAGGAGAATCTCAGTGTTCTTGCTGCTTAGGGCACTGCTCACAGCTTTCTACTTGAACGTGCGTGGGTATTCTGCCTGCGGTCTATGTCCCACAGGCTGGGCATGCCCATGGAGGGCAAAAGAGGGCACTGATCCCTGGCACTACAGCTACAGATTTTAAGCTGTCAGGTGGTACTAAGAATTGAAACTGGGCCCTCTGGAAAAACAAGTACTCAAACACAGAGCTCTCCCAGTCCCCATTCCTTGCAGCTTTAAAGACGAACTGGTAAAAATAAAACTCCAGTTGGGTGTGGTGGTACATGCCTTTAATTCCAGTACATGGGAGGCAGAGGAGGGTGACTTTCTCAGTTCAAAGCCAGTCTGGTCTACAGAGGGAGTTCCAGGATTGCCAGGGCTACACAGAGAAACCCTGTCTCAAAAACACCAAAACCAACCAAACAAAGAAATAATAAATAAAAGCTCACTTTCCCCACTAAGGAGGCTTCTATCCCACTGTTCTAACCAACTGCACACATTAAATGGGCTCTGAGATACAGACTGCTACAGGAGGAGAGGTGGCCTGTTCACCCATCTTCCAATGTCCTTAGATGCTCCCAGAGAAGAACCAGCCTGCAGCAGGCCCTGCCCTTCAACTGCCGGATCTGTCACTATGGCCGCAGTCTACCCCTGTTTCAAGTGATAGGCTCGGGCAGTGCCACTGAGCAACTTGAAACCCCAAAGAACCTGAAACACTATGTCCCCTGAAGCTTTCCTCCCTTCAGAGTGGCACCAAGCCCTCAGCCCACCCTCACTGCCATCTCCATTTGGTAACCCCCTTAGGACAGGACACAGCAGGCCACCAGGGCTCCCTCTCTTCTAGCAGCTGTCACAGCTCCGGGTGGCCTTGCTGGCTTCCCACTGCCAGGCACCATCCAGCTCAGCAGCGCCCCCTACTGCCCCTGCCACCTCCTGAGAACCCGTGTGGTAAAGCCAGTGCTTTACACTGGAACTAGAGCGCGTAACCCAACCCTGAGCAGCTTCAGCATCCGTAAACTGCACAGTGGCACCCAGCTCACGTGGTCTCGGGGCCCAGAGGAAGATACAGTGCTGAGCTCAGCATGACACCAGTGAGCGCTGGAGAAATGTGCCCCGTTGACATGTTCTCTTTCCTGTTAGCGTATCCCACACCTCACCACCACGCTCCTGGATCAAGCCTTTCCACACAATGATGACATCACCTGTCAGGACATATCTTTCTTTTGAACAAGGAATCCTGGGGCTGTACCTCTAAATTTCAGCCACAAATCACGTTTCCACACATATTTTTGAAACAGTGTTTATGTCTATGGTGTCAAGGTATTAAAGGCAAGGCACCTGGCAGGCTCATGGCTTCTTGGCCAGACGCCCAGTTGGAGGTCAGGGCTGGGATTCCTCTGGGCTTCCTGTTAGTAAGCACTGCTTTCTGGTCGTGGGGTGGGGTGGGGGGGGTGAGGTGGGGTGGAGTGTGTGTACGTGTGTGCGTGCAACGGACCCCTTGCTTTGCCTTTCATTATAGCCACAGTCTGGAGAAGACACCCATTTCCCATACCACTGCTACAGAGCTAGGGGCCTGACACAATTGGCTGGGAGCCTACCTCGTGGCTCAGCATTTCAAGGACAATATTAAAATCCTAACAGCAACTAATGGAAGAGTGAGCTTACATCACGTGGCCAGCAACACTAGCTAACCCTCCTGACAGGAAAGCAGCAGACCTTGAAAGACAACTCTGTCGCCTGCCATTTCCAACAGACTCACACTCAACTTTTGCTTACCAAAAGTAGCCAGGAATGTTTAGTCACTTTTTAAGTGAATATAAAATTATTGTGAAAAGAGGGGAGACTTGGACCCTCATGACAATGCAGGACAATCTGCAGGCGGGGCAGAAGACACTCAGCTGCTTTTCTGTGGTTGTTGGCTGTTTGCTACTCATTGATGGAAGCTGCATGTTCTCTCAAGAAGCTGCTAGAACTCTGTCCTCCAGGCAGCACTCTGATGCAAACAGGCTCGGGGAGCTTCTCACTATTCTAAGACCTGAGTAGGATAGACATCTGAAGGACACAGTGTCCAATCAAAAGTTTGACTAAAACCAACAGGCCGGAGGCTTACCCATTCTGCAAGAGAATATTTGCCTCCAAGATGCATTTCATTTTGGTCCTATCCTCTTGCTGTAAGCTCTGGCTCCCCTATCGCACCGTGGTAGGGATGACAGTGGGTTCCACTCAATTCACAGTAGCTTTTAATTCTAAGAATTTCACAAACGCATCTCTAGAGTGTTATCCACACTGGACCTCAGGAATAGAGCTTTCTAATGCAAGTTCTAAACAGAGCAGCATTCCTGTGGGCTGCCTGAGTTCTGCCTGCTGCTGCTGGTGCACTCTGGATGTCCCAGTGAGTGGGACAACCAGTTACACCCTTTACCCAAAATCTTTAAGATGAAGGACTAAATTTCTGAATGTAAATTGGTCCATATACGCCACAAATGCCTGTTTAGCAACGCTGGCACAGCACTGCAATTCAAACCCCCCTGCAGTAAGACCAGAGGCCCAAACCCCTGAGGCAGAGGCAGAAGCAGCTGCCCCACCCAAGCTTAGGTTCATGTTTTGCTATCAAGTTTGTAGGCCAAGGTTTTAAGACAGTAATCAAGGCGAGACTTCAGTTTTAGCTGGGATGGCAGCACCCGACCACACTCTGAGCAGCAGGAGCCAGAGGCGGCAGATACTGACTTCAAGGTCGCCTTCAGTTACACAGCAGTGCCAAGTTGGCGGCCAGCCTAGGCTACAAGAGACCTTGTCTTAAAAAACAAGACAAAACAAAAACAAAATCAAAACCTTTCAAGCCAGGCAGAGTGATGCTCACCTTTAATCCCAGCACCCAGGAGGCAGAGGCGGGGTGGGGGTGGGGGGAAGGTGTCCTTGTGAGTTCAAGATCTGCCTTGTCTACACATCAAGTTCCAGGAAAGCCAGGGCTAAGACCCTAGTTCAAAACCCAAACAACCAAACAAACCCTTTCAGTTTTGCTTTGGTTTTCTGGCTTTTTGATTCATTTATTTTTCTTTACTTTTTTCCTACCTGGGAATCTTTTCTTTTGACAGTAAGCCAGCAAGCACAATAATGAACCAGGCCTCCTTTGCGACCATAGGCACCTTCGGGAAGGGACGGGGTATCACTGGCTTAGTCTAACACTCACTCATGAAGTTGCTCTGTTACTGCAATGCCAGAGGCCTGTGGTCTAGGACCTCTGAGGCAGGCCTGTCTCTTTCTCACCAGATAGAGCAGGCATAGCAAAGAAACCTCAAATTCTACAGGTAAAGTAAAATGCGGATGTTTAGCAGGCTCGAGTCACCAACTTCAGTACTCCTGCAAGTTTTTAAACAAACAGTAAACATGGCCAAAAAAATAAACGGAAGAAAACTATAAATGTGTACAGAGCCTGTGTGCACCGTCTGCTGGTCTGAGTCAAATAGCTCCACGAATATCTTATGCTCAGACTCGCCAAATTCTAAGCGCAAAATGTGCGTGCGTGTGTGTGTGTGTGTGTGTATGTAGGCCAGAGGTCAACACTGAGTGCCCCTCAGGAGCTATCCACATTTTTTTGCTTGCTGGGACCTAGGGCCCCTTGATCTGGCTCAGCCAGCTGGCCGGTGAGCACAGGGGTCCTGCTGTGTTCGCCTCCCCAGTGTCAGAATCACAAATGCACACTACGAGGCTTAGCTTTTGGGAGTTAGAGATCGAGTCTTCATCCTCTTGCAACAAGCATTTTTGCAACTGAGCTATCTCTGAAGCCTTATTTTGGGTTTTTTGATGCCACGGGTTTTACTCTATAGCTAATCTGGCCTCAAACTCACTATGTAGCAGCCGAGCTGTTCTTCAACGCGTAGCAATCTGTGTACTTTAGCTTTCTAACCACAGACAGTAGAGCACACCTCTCTGGCAGCAAGCTTAAGGGAACACTCATTAATTTTCCTCTCAGATAAGCATTGTCAGCATTCTAGAGTTTGACTGAAATTGAACTGTATGTAAAATTTTTTAGTCAGATAAAAAAAAAAAATACAAGCTTGGGACTGGAGAGATGGCTCAGCGGTTAAGAGCACTGGCTTTTCTTCTAAAGGTCCTGAGTTCAATTCCCAGCACCCACATGGTAGCTCACAACCATCTGGAATGGAATCTGATTTCCTCTACTAATATGCATGAAATCAGCACTCATTTGCAGAGATAAATCAATCTTTTTCTTAAAAGTATGTTTTTAAAAATACAAGCATAATGGGGAAAAAGCAACACAGAAAAGTTGCATTACCCAACACAGATGTCTGATAATCTTTCTTTCTTTCTTTCTTTCTTTCTTTCTTTCTTTCTTTCTTTCTTTCTTTCTTTCTTTCTTTCAGACAGGCCTCCCTATATATGTAACTCACACCTCAGACTCCTGCGTGCTAGGAAACATGTATGCACTACAACAAGCTCAACTAAGGCTGTGCGATGTTAATTAAGAAAGATTAAAGCCTTTCTTTTTAGTGGCTGCTCATCTCAGCTGTGGCCATGCTCTCCTTCAGGGAGGCAATCTGCAGCTGGCTAGGAACGTGCACAGCACCAATTCCAAAACAAAGGCGTGACCCCGGGAGCAGCAGGGTCATCTGCCTGAGGAGGGTGGAAATGCAGAGCCAGTTCAGAGAGGAAAAGCCCCAAATCAGGATGGGTGCAGTCTGTCTTACTTGTCAAGAAAGTTCATATTCTCCCAAGATTTCACCCAGATGGAGTCTCTGGGAAATGAAAGCAGTCAAGACTTGGGCTCTGAGGCCCTCAAGCCTCTGCAAAATTCCACATCTCATAACATGCTGAAGATAGAGTAAGAACTCTGGGCAGACCTGAGTGATCCAGGCCAGTGCAGGGGGTGGGTGGTAACCACCAGCCGGCCACCACAGCGACTCTCCCCAGCCCAGGTCCCCGGGGCTCCTGGCCCAGAGTTCCTTTTCAGCCCTCTGGCTTATGTTTTCCTGGACAGCTCCCTCTTAGTCAGCAATCTTAAAGTTTTAGGGTCGGCAGGAAACAGAGTGCAGCCCTGGCCGCCAGGCTTCCTGGGGTCAAGGCAGGCCACTGATGCAATTGGGTTATGAAAAGGAAGCATGCAGAATTACCTGGAGAGCCCGCTGCTAACACCTCTGTCCTGCTGACAACAAAGGTACGAGACAGGGACAAAGGAACTGAAAAATGGAGAAAGACAAGGTGAGACTGCATTGAAAGGCAGAAAGAGAGCTTTACGTCCAAGGGATGGGAGCGGACAGTGCCTCACTAACGTGAGCATTCCACCCCGGAAGCGCCAAAGCCCACATGGTGTTATAAAAAGGAAGGGACCCAAAAGAGCTTCTGGGAAGACCAAGGCAGGGAGTGTGCCACCAGGAAGAATCTCATTCTTGTGTTCTTTTCTGCCATGTTCTTGAGACACCCCCCCACCAATACCCAACTGGGGTCCACAGCTCCAAAACAAGCTGTTCTCAAGGTCCAAGTCACAACTAGTCACACAACTGGAGGCTCGGCTGTAGGGGTTCTAAGAACAGGCCTAAGCCATACTCCAGTGCTCACTCACCACACGACCTAGCAAGCCCTTAGTTACCCAACTCACTGGCCTCCTTGGTTTCAGAATTTTGGCCTGATATTTTGCTTGGGATGATTGCAGATTTCAAAACAGAGGCAAATGTGTAGAGTGCTATGCTCAGGCTGACTGAAACAGCAGACAAAGGTTAGCTTCAACACTGCTCACGAGCCCCACCCCAGGGAACACCCCAAGGGCAGGCCATGAGGGCAGGGGCATGCCTTCCACACGTCCCAAGGACTGTAGGCTTTCTTTACTACCTTGCTTCAAGAGAAGGTCTCAACATACAGCCCTGGCTGGCCTGAAAACTTGCTTTGTAGGCCAGGCTGACCTTAAACTTACAGCAATCCTTCTGCCTCTGTTTCCCTAGTCGACAGCTGACTTTCCATTTATTTGTGCATGCGCATGTGCCATGACACAGGAGGAGAACAGAGGTAAGTTGTGGGGGTCAGCTGTGGATCTCGGGAATTAAGAGCCGCCAGGCTGGGCTACAGGTACCTTCACCTGCTGACGTCACTTCAGTAGCCCCACAGCTAATCTGAACACACACAGGCAGGGCTGTGGCGATACTGTACTAACTGTACATCTCGGCGTATAACCGCACTGTATAGTCAGACTCCCAGACCCTGGTCAACCTTTGAGATGAATGCGGTGGGCTTCCTGGTTATTGTTATTAAAACGTCTCCTGTAGCCTAGGGCTAGCCTCAAACTACATAGCATAGGCTAGCCTTTAACCCCTGGTCTGCCAGGGGCTGGCACTAGTGGTGTGGCCATCATTCCCAGGCTTTTTGCTATTTTTTTTTTTTAATGGGATTTTCTTTATGCTATGTTCAATGTGTGCTGGGCTACTGTTTAGGTATAAATAACCAGAAAAACAAAACAAAACAAAACATATTGCTCTTATCTCTTTTCAGAGCTGCCTTATAGATGGAGGTTGGTTAACCTGGGCTAATTTGAGGCACATAGTCTCAAAACAGTGGGACAATGCTAGCACCTTTCCGTGATGTGGTTTTCTTCTAGTTGTTTAGACCTCACAGAGTGGAATACGCTGACCCTGAACTTGTGTCAGTTCTCCTGCCTCTACCGTCTTACCACACTGTATACGCAGCACCCCATTCAGCTCTCCTGGGTAGTATAGGATACCAAGGGCCTTTTCTCAATGTCACACACCTGTGTCTCAGGCTGTGGCTGGGTCTTTCCACGCCTAGTTACAAAATTCCCCTCAGTGTCATCAAGCAGTGGAAATGGAGATCACTTTCAGGTTTACAGCAAGGACCTCCTTGGAGGGACACAGACCCACGCCCATACTCGGTGGCAATGGTGGTAGTGTGCCCTTCGGCAGAGTGAGGAATCTTGACAGCTGGCTGGCTGGCTTTCTAACAGTAATACCTTATGTCTGTTACACTGCTGGGCAGGGCAGTAAGAGAAGATAAATGTCACAAAGACACACTTGCTGAAGGTCCCCATCCCTGTTAAGACTGTTTCAGTTTGACAACCTTCCTTAAGATGGGTGGGCTCGGGTAGGCAGGCTTGGGGCTCTGTGAGTGCAAAATGTCCTTTTGCATGTTGGCCACAAGGTGGCACTACAGCACCTCCATTTACCTGCCTGATCTGCTCCTGGCCAGGGAAGGCAAGCAATGGAGTGTCTAGATCCAGAGCTTGGGTATGAACTCTCCAGCTGGAAGAGGCACTTCTTGCAGGCACCGCAGAATCTCAATCTCAGAACCTCAATCACCGTGCATACCCACCCACGCAAGCAGCCAGCAATCGAGATAAACAGGAGCAACCTCCTTCATCCTCAGGAAGATGCAAAGTGGAACCCCCAGAAGAGCTACTATGTTGACCTCAGACTTTGAGTGATCAGGTGACACTTCCCATGATAGGCAGGAGCATAGCAGACACAGTACTTTGAGGAAATACTAAACTTCTAGGAAGTTTTAAACCTAACCAGCAACTCAGCAGAACTGAGTGCACACACTCACTGGAATGCATGGAGCTTACATAGATGCCCTCACAGGAAACAGCCCGTGAGGGTAACCTAAGTGTCAAAACTTCCCTTGGGTTTACAATCACCATGGAAACACACTTCTGGTATTTCTCTGAGGGTATTTCTGAGGAGGTGTAACTGAATGGAAATAGCACGCGCTCTTGAGTATGGGGACACAGCCTGGGGTCCTGGACCGACCACCAAAGAGGGAGCTGAGCACCAGCACTCATCTCTTCCTGCCTCCTGTGTCACCATCTGCTTCACGCTCCTGCCACCGCGGCCTGAGGCGGCTTAATGCATTGCTCATGGGGAAACGGCAAGCACACAGTAGGGAGGGTGACACAGATGACCGCGGCAGCACAGCACTGGGCAGAGGATGCCAAACTCGACCTACTGCATTCTGTATCCATTTATACCTACAACGTTCAAAAAGGGAGAGGGGGCCTCCAGGGGACAGTGATTCAGAGGAAGGTGAGAAGGCTGGTTAATATCCTGTGCTTAATATTCTGTCTCTCCTGGTTTTCACAGTTGTCTTCACTGTGTATGGAAACCCATGAAGGTGTACACGTGTCTATGTACACACAGACAGATGTGGACAGCCTCTGTCTATGATGCATGTCAGTGAGCAGTTAAGCAGGCTGGGTGTGGGGCGGACTGGCAGGATGATCCTGAGTCAAAGTCCTGCGCTAAGAGGCAGGAAGCACTCACCTGGAGAGGCTGTGAGGGCCATCACACCATAGTATGAAAAAGCACTCGCTTCAAACTTCATACCTTCCTTCCCGGCTTCTACTTCCACCTTCCCCTGTGGGAAGAAAAGAGAGGGACTTTCAGTTTGAACTAAAGCTAGCCCTTCCTGAGTTGGTTTACACTCCTCTCCGGTGTGCCCAGGACAGACAAGCTTTGGGAAGTAAAGGGCGGATATATCCTCTCAACTGGAGAACTGGATCAGGGTGGGCCTGCGGAGGCGGCAATAAAAGGGCCAATATCTGTAGGTCCACTTAACATTTTCCCATGTCCCCAGCTCTAGAAGGGCCCTCAGTAATAAGAAGAATTGCTGAGACAAATGTTGAGGAGGAAGGACCTTGTTGAAAGGCCGCCCCAGGAGGGGCCAGAGCTGAGAGGCAGCAGGCTCAAGGGGCAGCTTTGTGTCCATGGAACAGAGGGGCATGAACCGGCTCCAGGGACTCTTCTCCGAGCCCAGTGTGTGGGTGTCCAAGCAGACACCTTGCCCGACTCCCGGGGGCACTGAGGAGGGAGAGCAACCCTAGAAAGTCTCCTTCCATCCACACAAACTCCTCTGAGCCTCCGTTCTTCTTCCCCTCTACATGCCTGAGACTGCTCATCCTCCATCACCTCTCCCATCCCTGCAGCCTTAGAGGCGACCTTCAGCCTTCAGAATAGGTGCTCTGCAGCCTGTTCTGGGAAACACTTCCCCAGTGAAGGGTCAGTGCAGGAGTGTTCATATCACCCAGTTTGCCTCCCCCAGAACCTCCTGTGCAAGGAGCAAACCAGCAAGCTACCACTTGCTACAAGGGAACTATTAAACCAGGCATGGTGGCATGTTCCTATATTCCCAGGACTTGGGAAGTAGGGGCAAGAGGATCAGAACCCCAAGACCAGCCTGGACAATATGAGACTGTCAAAAGAGGAAAAGGGAGCCAGGCATGGTGGTGCACGCCTTTGATCTTCAGTGCTCAGGAAGGCAGAGGCAGGCAGATTGCAGTGAGCTCGAGGCCAGCGTGGTCTATAAAGCACGTCCAGGATAGCCAATGATACACAGAGAAAACCTGTCTTGGAAAAAAGGAGGAGAGGGAGGGGAAGGATTGAGAGAGAGGAAGGGGAAAGAGAGAGGGAAAGGGAGAAAGGAAGAGAGAGGGAGAAAAGAAGAGAGAGTAGGAGGAGAGAGGGAGAGAGAGGAGAAAGGGAGGAAGAGAGGGCAGGCAGACAGGCACACAGGCTAACACTGCACTGTGCTTTATAATTCACTAATGCTCACAGCGCTAGGAGGGAGACCCAGCTGACCAATTGGGGAAGAGGAGCCAGGAAAGGCAGGTGATGGAAGAAGAGCTCTCAAGAGCTGCCGCCTGCTAATATGAACTCTGGTCCCTGGACCACCTCCCACTTGAGTGCATTAACATTCTGGATTAGAGAAGACCCTCCTCTGAACATCACATCTTCAGAAAGCCATTTGTGCCTTTGTTTAGGCACAGGAAATACTAGCTGACTGATCCCAATTAATTCTTGTTAAGAAGGAAGGAAGGTGGGATGCAGAGCATCTCTGTGCGTGGTGCTCGCAGCTCTAACCCTGCCCCTTGTGCATGCCAGGCAAGCACTTCACTGCTCAGTGCACTCCCAGGATCTAAACCCATAATTTCTAAGCAACCTGCAAAGGAGAAAGAGCTAAAGCTTCCTAGATATGCAGCCAGACAAGGAGGTGCTGCGAGCCCCAAGGAGCTCTATTCCAGTGGGTGGAAGGCAGCATGGAGAGCTAGAGGCAGAAGGCTTCACACCGACATGCCGTGTAGCCCGTGCCTGTAGGCCTAGTGTTCAGGAGGCAGAGGTGGGAAGATTGCTACAGGTTCAAGGCCAGTTTGGTTTACACAGCAAAAGTTCCAGGCCTCCGGGGCTACAGAGTGAAGCCCTAGGTAAACAAATGCTCCCCAAACTGGAGGCTGAAGAGATGGCTCAGTTGGTAAAGAGCCTGCCAAACAAGCAAGAGGACCCGAGTTTGGGTCTCCAGCACCCATGGAAGAGACAAGTGCCAATCAATCTGAAGCCCTAGCACTTGGCGGGTACTGAAATGAAGGATCTTTGGAGCTCACTGGCCAGTCATTTTAGCCAGTTGATGAGACCTCAAAAGATAGGGTGGGGGCTGGAAAGATGGCTCAGAGGTTAAGAACACTCACTGTTCTTCCAAAAGGTCCTGAGTTCAATTCCCAGCAACCACATGGTGGCTCATAACCATCTATAGTAAGATTTGGCATGCAGGCAGAATGTTGTATAAATAATAAATAAATATTAAAAAAAAAAGATAGGGTGGAAAACAATAATGGGAAATACCTCCAGCCTCCACATGCACCAACATGCTTGCACATACATGCACAACCACAGTACCTACCCCCCCCCACGCCCACACACAAGCAAATGAACAAAAAGAATATAAGGGGTTCAGAGAGACCCATTTACTTCCTGTTCTGCCATGAGGACACACTTTCTGCAGGAAGTCTAAGGATGAGCAGGATCTGGCTGACCCATTGGTATGAAGGAAAGTCTGAGGCAGGAGACAGCAGACAGGCTTCCAGGCCTACACAGGCAGACGGGACCACAGAGGTCCTGGAGCAATGGCTAAGGACATGGGTTCAGGAGCTAGCACAGTGCAGGTTAGTGTGGCTGTGCTGAGAAAAGCCACCGGGGAGGAACATACATAATTTGGTAAAGCTGTCAAAAAAGAAAATGGGAGGAAGCAATTCTAATAGAAGTGTTCATCTGAGGGCCTCAAACATGGGCATCCTGGTGGGAAACCAGAGGCTGAGAATTGAGAACAATTTCCAGGACCAGGTCTTCTGCAGAGAGTCCAGTGGCTGAGGAGAAGGAAGGCTCCAGCTGGAGCTGGAGATCCTGGGGTGATGGGAAGGATGGCAATAGAAAAAAAAAAAAATGAGAGACAAAGACCAGCCTGTCATCTTTGACTGACAGGACGAGGAAAGCCAGAAACCAAAAAGGCGCTGACAGAAAAATCCTCACCAAAGAAGCCAGGCAAGTGAAGTTTCCTGGCACAGGAACAGTTAGCAGTGACAGCCATCACAGGGATGTGATGAGAGCACAGGGTTCTGACAAGGAACTACTGAGCCAGCAAGAACACCTCTACTCAGAAGTCAGTAGGAGGAACAGGAGAAGCAGCGAGGAGCATTTCAAAGTTGGTGTGGAAATGAAGTGGCTAGAATAGGGTGCTGGGCACAGTTGACAGGGGAGGGTTCTTTGAGGGGTGGGCCTTTCCAAGAGGGAAAGAGAGGGAAGTAGTGGCAGGAAGAGATGACATTTAAAGAAGGCAAAGGCAGAAGCAGCACGCAGTGACACAGGCACCATGACATTCTCACCCTGAAGAGCACTACCACACACCGCTTTCAGAGATGGCTGAAGCAGCCTCTCCACTCAGCTGTGGGGACATCCCACAGCCACAAAGTGACTTCTCCCTCCAAAGGGTCTGGGTTGTTTTCACAATCCACAAAGGCTATGTACTTGGTCTCTGCAAGTGAGTGCGCGTTCCCACTTTGTGATTAACCATTAGAACCAAAAGGGCAGTCGTCTCCCTACCAGAGCCAGACTCTCAGGAAGGAAGCCAGCTGACGACCCGGCAGGGCTGTGCTGGGTCCCTCACAGTAACCTCAGAAGCACAGGGTCCCAGAGACTGGCCCCAGCTCCCATGCTCCACACTCAGGCGCTCTGGGTTCATCAGTATAAGATGTGAACTGGACAGGAGAACGGAAGTTCTTCAGGTAACATCAAGAATGTGCGAGGTTTGGAGTCTCATTTTCTGGCTGTTTGTGAACAATGGCCTCAGGTCTGGAAATTGTTCTCTGGTCTCAAAGACTCCCTCCCATAAATGCACAGGGCCAGGTCTACTGACCAATCAATCAAAGACGGCTACAGAGAGATTCCACAGCCACCCGAGACTACAGCCGTCCTGCAGTCCTTCAGGGCAGGCACCAGGTAGGAGCACCTACTCTGCTCTTAGATGCCCAGGAGTCCCAACCAGCAGTCTACTGTGGACATGCTGGGCTGAGGCTCCCACGTGTTTGGGTTCCAAGAAGTGGCAGCAGATAAGGGCCACCATGTTTTTCTTCATTATCTCCTGCCGCCATCATTTCAGAAAAGGCCACAGATTGTAACTGCCCCCTCTAATTTAGAAAATGTAGTTTCAAAACAACAAACACAACTGCCCTCAAACTGAACATGAAACGCTCCATGAAAGATGGCCTGTAGTTGTCCTTCTTTTCTCCTTTTCCTCCAACTGGTGACGGTGGCACAGCAGCACCCAGAAACCACTTACAAAATTGGAGCAGATTAAAAAAGACGACAGAAAGTGGGGAGACAGGGCTCTGAGGAAGTCTGAGGGGCAGTGAGCATGAGTAAAATACAGTGCAAACACTGAAGTCCTCCACAAACAAATAAAAATATATTAAGAAGAAGACAGGGCGGGAAAGGTGGCTCCACAGGGGAGAGTGGCTACTGCCGCGCCTGACCACCCAAGGGCACTCCCCAGGGTCCGAACGATGGAGGGAGAGAACTGACCTCTACCTATCTTCCAACCTCTACACACAAGCTCTGACACAGTTTCAGCATTAAAAAAAAAAAAAAAAAAATCTCAAAAACAAACAATATCCAGTATCCAGATTATAGAAAGTAACACATGAAAATCAGCACAGGCTGCGCAGTCCGTTCAGCAGTCTGAAGCACTTGTTGCTGGCAGGGGACCCAGGTTTGGTTTCACAAGGCAGCTCCCAACCATCTGTAACTCCAGCTCCAGGGCATCTATCTTGTGCCCTCTGCTCACTCCCAAGGGCACCAAGCACACACACAGTACACAGAAATGCATGCCGGCAAAACACTCATAACACATAACAAACGAAGTCAAAAACAATTGGCATCACAACAGACTGAAGGACCCCTGCAGTCCCCTGCATTCTCAGAGTCTCCATTTGCTAGAGTTAAAGCCGCCCAGGCTGCCCTCCGCAGACAGAAGCTTTTCTGACAGGCGATTTCGGGGACACCAGGAGCATGTTTTCATTTGAGCGACAGTAG